GTCTACCACAGTGAACTTTCGCGAAGAGCTCCATCTGTTTCCACACACCAGTACAGACCCAGGGCTCTTTCAAGTGGGAGCTTACCCCTGTCCAGATCCAACTCGTGCACATTCTTTGATCGATGCTCCTGTGAGATGCTATTCAAAACTTTGCGGCTGTTGCTCATCCATTTACTGAGGTTAAATCCTCCTCTGTGACATAATTCAACAAGTTGGTTGACCATGATTATTGTATCGTTTTCAGATGTCATACTTTTGAGTAGATCGTCAACATAGAAATTATTAATGATTGCGCTAGTCACATCAGGGGGAAAGTCGTTGCTATTGTCATCTGCCGTTTTACGTAGAGCAGCCATTCCCAAACTCAGTAACACCGAGGCCCCCTTAAAAATCTGACGGGTCTGCGTGGCCCCCCAAAATAATAACCAAGAACACAACATTAAGAATAGGCTCTTCTGGTTATTTTATTTTGGGGAAATAGCCTCTGCTACAAACATTGTAATACAAAAATGATTACAGTGGATTATTCAAGTCAAATAATGAACACAAATATTTTAATATTACAAACAAAACATTCTAAATTTAACATTAAATAATTATACATATATATATTTTTTTTTACGACCTCCCGCGGCCCCCCTGCAGTACCCTCGCGGCCCACCAGGGGGCCGCGGACCCCACTTTGGGAGACACTGACGTAGAGCATAGCATGCACAACTGGGAGAGGATGTAGCACCAAACAAGTGAACCTTCATACGATACTCCACATGTTTTTGTTCAGTATCTCCCCCAGGCCACCACAAGAAGCGCAACAGGTCTGCATGCTCCTCATCCACTCGAACTTGATGATACATAGCCTCTATATCCGCCATGACAGCCACCGGCTCCTGTCTGAACCTTGTTAGAACTCCCAGTAAAGAGCTGGTCAAATTGGGACCTTGCAAAAGTTTTTTATTCAGAGACACACCCTTGAACTCTGTAGCGCAATCAAACACCACACGCAGCTTCCTTTTCTGAGGGTGTCTCACTCCATGATGTGGAATATACCACACTCCCCCATCAGCTCTGTTCAGCTCATTAGATGGGACTTTTTCTGCATATCCATGTTCAATTACATTCTCCATGAATTCAATGTACTCCTTGCGAAATGCTTGGTTTTTCTGAAACCTCTTCTTCAGGCCTTGCAACCTCTGCTGGGCAACACTGATGTTATTTGGAAAAGAAACTGTGCCGGCTTTAAAGGGGAGCTTTATTGTATAGTGACCATCTCGCAGCTTGACAGATCTAGTTACAACGCTCATAAACAGCTTTTCTTGCAATGACATGTCTTCTTCATTTGAACACTCTTCCAGCTTATTGACTGCTGTCCTGTTCATGTTGACCACAGGATAAGTGTTCAGCTCACTGCTGCTTCCTCTCAATGGCCCATTGATAACCCATCCCAGTAAAGTTTTTATGGCATATGGTCCCTCCCCAACACTGTTGATGACTTCCCAGGGCTCCATCAACTTAAATGAGTTGGTTCCTATGAGCAAGTCAACCTCTGCTTGGATCTGGGGAATGCATACACGGTTAAGATATGTCCATTTCTCTATTTCAGCTTGAGATATCATGTTTTGTGTGGAAACAGGCATTTTACTTTGTGTATAAACATCAGGCAGAGGATAAAATGTCCCATCAGTATAGCTGGCTATCTCCAGATCTTTAAGGACATACGTGGAGACCTTTTGTTCAGGAGCCATTGTACGGAGGTGAATATTTGCTTTAGTTCCAGTTAACTTTAACCGAGTCATGAGACTTTCTGAACAGAATGTGGAAGTACTTCCTGGATCCAAAAAAGCATATGTGCTTATTATTTTGTCACCCTTTGAAGACTTCACCTGAACCGGTAGTATGGACAAAATGCCATCACTGCTGCCGGCTCCTATATGTCCACAAGTTGAAACAAGTGTATCAACAGAGTCCATTTCTTGTGAATTTGAGTCTTGAGACGTTTTGTCATAATGAAGAAGAGTAGGATGATTTTTATCACATTTTTTGCACCTCATGCGCCGCTCACAATGTTTGCTTATGTGGCCAATGCATAAACAGCCAAAACACACACCTTTCTCCATTAAAAAGTTTATTTTTTGTCTGTGTGTCTTCCTTTCCAGCAGAGGGCAGTCTTCTATTGCATGATCCTTTGAACAATACAAACAATTTGGTTTAAATGGACTCACCATGTCATGTTCATTACGGTCAGTTGTGACAACATTGGTGGCAAAAGTGTTTCTAGTTCTCTGGGGAGATCTGATTCTTGCATTTTTTGTTTGTTTTAGATAATTGCCATCTTGCAAGTCTCCAAAAATGGGATCAGACACAATCCTGACCTGCTTTTCAATAAAATGAACAATGTCCATAAAACAGGCTCTGCACTTAGTACTGTCCAGCAGCTCACTGGCTTTGCTTCTCCACCGCTCTCTCAATTTATAGGGAAGCTTTTGGACAACAGCTTTCATATTGGCTGGCATAATAAGTTCCTCCATATATTCCAAGTTCTCCATAGCTGTGCCACATTCTCTGGGGAACATTGCATAGGCCTGTAAACCCTTTACATCCTCAGGCCTCACCGCAGGCCAACTAAGCACTTTGTCCACATAAGCCGATGAGATTCTAAGTTCACTGCCAAAATGTTCATATAGCAACCCCATTGCCCTCACATATCCATTGTCGGGGGCCATGTGCTGACAGCCGCGCACTAGTTCTTGTGGCTGCCCTCTTGTATATTGATGGAGGTAATACAAACAATCTCCTTTATTATTGGTCTTGTTTTCCACACAGTGTTGGAATGCTTTTATAAAGGTTTGAAAGAACAATGGATTTCCATCAAATATTGGAATTTCTCTTAATGGTAGGGAATTTGAACTTTGCTGCTGAACGAGAAGTTCTGTGATTTGATTTTGCTTATGCAACAAGGTGTATAAATTGCCATCTTGAGTTTGATTTGATTGATTGAATATTTTTGAATCTTGTTCTTTGTGTAATTGATGCTGTTGCGTTTTTCCATGGTGTGAATGAGTTACAGTGCCACGTGCTTGTTCATTCATGCTTGGAAGTGCACTGTTCACATATTTTGAAATCGTTTCTGCATTTGGTTTGAATGGCTTTGCATCAGGATTCATTGGGTTTCTGTTAAAGTTTGCACCCATTATTGCTTTAGACTCCTTTCCACTTGAAGCGGTACTGTGATATTCATCACTCATTAAAACTGCCAATCTTGCGGTTGACGCGGCGATCTCAGTGTCCAATTCAAGTTGCTCTTGTCTCCGCTTTAGTTGGGCTGCTTGCTCTTCCAGTTCATGCTTGTTCTTTAGGGCCGCTGCGTGCGTCTGGAGCGCGGCTCTTTCTGCCTCAGCGTGGAGGAGCTTAGTTAGAGTTGAAGAGCGTCCACTCCTGGAACTGCGATTACTGCCACTTTTGGACGTTTTACGCGATGCACTCGTCCCAATCCTTGACGCACCGTCCATGGACCGCACCTCCACATCAACAAGTGTTTCAGTTTCTGCATTATTTCCCGTAGCAGCGTCAGTATTTGTCAGCCACACATTCACTTCATTTGTAAAGTCATTGACACCAAGCATTTTTGCTTTATACCATGTAATGTGTTTCTCAGCCTCCTCATTTGGAAGCAATCTCAGTAAAGTGTTTTGAATATCTTGAACTTCATTACACACACTTTTATATTTGTCAAATGTACATTTCACTTCAGTTTCACAATCTCTGTCAGTCATCAGTTCCGCGATAACAGCCCGTATTCTCCCAGCTTTATTGAACATAGTTTTTCTGGACTTTTGCAAATGTTCTATTTTGTCCATTAAAGCCTTTTCTGTAAGTTTCCTGTCTCGCTTTGAGTCCGTGCCCAACACTGCGCCCGCATTTGATTCGCAATATACATTTTCTTGTGCCTTGCAGGCCTCTTCATTGAGAGCGTGCACTGGCGGCTGAGCTGAATTTGTGACATCATTTTGCACATTTTCCATTATCCTTTTATTATTATTTTTTTTATAAGTGTTGTATACAATTACTCACGACTTTCCAGTAAAGGCGACGTGGATTTGTTCCTTCTTCTTGTGAGTGTGTGTGGCTGACACTGACCTGCTCGCTGACGTTTCATTCACAGTTTATTCACTTGTTTCAGAGGCAAAGGATCCAAACTTTTCTTGGTCCATAGCAAATCCATTTCTTCCTCAAGCAGTTGTCCCGATAGCTGAATCCTCTTTCATAGAGCAAGTTTTTGACTTGTGTGCTGACCCTTTGTGACTGGGAGGGAGAACTGACGCGCTAAACTTGAGCCTTTCATTTTATACACTTTATTGATTTACATAAAGAAAAAGGAACAAGAATACTTTGCTCATTACGCAGATAAAAGCGGTCAAAAACTGTGTGCTCACCCAGTCACTCACACACCTGCATTTAACACATCCACAACCACACACCCACGCCACGCCCATTGTGACGCAACATTCATTCATAAATCAGTTTCACCTCACCACAATACAATACAATACAATACAATTTATTCTTGTATAGCCCTAGGTCACAACAGAAGTCATCTCAGAGGACTTAACAAAACCATTGAAATCATCAACACAGGTCAGAGAATCAACAGTTAAAACACATGAAGAATACAGTATAAAGCACACACAGAAGAAAATGTCCATACATGTTGTAGAATGCTAAAGTGTCCTGATCATCACCAATCCTTTCTGTTGGACACTAACTGTCCAACAAGACCCTCCTGCATCGACAAGGAAAAACTCTTAAAAAACCCAGTGGGAAAAAGTGAGAAACCTTGGAGGAGAACTAGGGAAACCCACAGGGAGGGAGACCCATATGAGAAAGGGATCCGCTCCTCCGGACGGACAGGCTAACAAGCAAATAATGGCTGGAACAGTGTGTATGTGTGTATATGTGTGTGCCTGTTTGCATCATACGTCTTCTTTAATCTTCTTCTTCTTCAGTTCCGGTCAGAGTGCTCCGTCCTGCACACGCCCGGCCTGCTGCCCCCTGGTGGTGTCCTGATGGTCACCTACATCATGGAGGACTTCCCTCAGACCAGCATCAACCTGAGCCTCAGCACCACAGAGACCAGGACGAGGAGGGAGAGCCTCAGCAAGGTCCCTGTGCAGTTCTTTATCACAGGTAACACTTCTTAAAGTGTTTACTTTCAGATAAACTAATCTGTCATCATTAAAGGGCCCTAATCTGTCATCATTAAAGGGCCCTAATCTGTCATCATTAAAGGGCCCTAATTTTTCATCATTAAAGGGCCCTAATCTGTCATCATTAAAGGTCCTTTATCTGTCATCATTAAAGGGCCCTAATCTGTCATCATTAAGGACCATAATCTGTCATTATTAAAGGGCCCTAATTTTTCATCATTAATGGGCCCTAATCTGTCATGATTAAAGGGCCCAAATCTGTCATAATTAAAGGGCCCTAATCTGTCATCATTAAAGGGCCCTAATCTGTCATCATTAAAGGGCCCTAATCTGTCATCATTAAAGGGCCCTAATCTGTCATCATTAAGGGCCCTAATCTGTCATCATTAAGGACCCTAATCTGTCATTATTAACGGGCCCTAATTTTTCATCATTAAAGGGCCCTAATCTGTCATGATTAAAGGGCCCAAATCTGTCATCATTAAAGGGCCCTAATCTGTCATCATTAAAGGGCCCTAATCTGTCATAATTAAAGGGCCTTTATCTGTCATCATTAAATGGCCCTAATCTGTCATCATTAAAGGGCCCTAATCTGTCATTATTAAAGGGCCCTAATCTGTCATCATTAAGGGCCCAAATCTGTCATCATTAAGGGCCCTAATCCGTCATCATTAAAGGGCCCTAATCTGTCATCATTAAAGGGCCCTAATCTGTCACCATTAAAGGGCCCTAATCTGTCATCATTAAGGACCCTAATCTGTCATCATTAAAGGGCCCTAATTTTTCATCATTAAAGGGCCCTAATCTGTCATCATTAAGGACCCTAATCCGTCATTATTAAAGGGCCCTAATTTTTCATCATTAAATGGCCCTAATCTGTCATGATTAAAGGGCCCTAATCTGTCATCATTAAAGGGCCCTAATCTGTCATAATTAAAGGGCCTTTATCTGTCATCATTAAAGGGCCCTAATATGTCATCATTAAGGGCCCTAATCTGTCATCATTAAGGACCCTAATCTGTCATTATTAAAGGCCCCTAATTTTTTATAATTAAAGGGCCCTAATCTGTCATGATTAAAGGGCCCAAATCTGTCATCATTAAAGGGCCCTAATATGTCATCATTAAAGCTGCACTAACTGACTTTGAAGCCGCAGACTCTCTGGCCTCGCTCTTTCTGCTCCCCTCCCCGCACCCACGAAGCTATCGCCCCCACACACACACCCACTGTTGTTGACGAAGCTAGTGTCTCCCAATATGGATAATACATGGATATGGATTTGCACGTGGATGGCGTGACCATAGAACAATAGAACCGGGAAGTGCAGAAGAACGGGACTTTCTTTTGGATGGCTGTCTCGCTGTGTAAGCAGTAACCGGTGACGAAGACGAGGAAGTTTCAGGTTAGTTCCGCCGCTTGTTGTGCTAACTCAGCCGTCTATGCTAACCACAGACCTGTAGATTTCTCACGAAAGTGGGGGCTATTGGTCCGCTGTGATTGGTCACAATCCGCGACCCGAAACACATTCTCTTCCTTGTTTCATCAAAACTCGATCTAAAATATAATGTCACGCCAGCACAAATCTGTGATACTGTTTCTTTAAAAGGACGTTTATCCCAATGCACTACATGGACATAGATAGACTTTAACTAATAAATACAAAAATAAAGTCAGTTAGTGCAGCTTTAAAGGGCCCTATTTCACCGTGTGGAGCAAATCTCACTGGTAAAGTACCATGTGGCGCAGAACTAAAAGATTCTCAAATCATTAACAACAAAACAAGGAATAAAACCAGGATTTGCCTTTGAGAAACAGACATCTGAAGATGGATCAGAACTTTAGATCTGATGAAGTTGTGTGTTATAGTTGTGTGTTTTAGTTGTGTGTTAAATTTGTCTGTTATAGTTGTGTGTTAAAGTTGTGTGTTAAATTTGTCTGTTACAGTTGTGTGTTATAGTTGTGTGTTACAGTTGTGTGTTATAGTTGTGTGTTATAGTTGTGTGTTACAGTTGTGTGTTATAGTTGTGTGTTATAGTTGTGTGTTACAGTTGTGTGTTACAGTTGTGTGTTACAGTTGTGTGTTATAGTTGTGTGTTACAGTTGTGTGTTACAGTTGTGTGTTATAGTTGTGTGTTACAGTTGTGTGTTACAGTTGTGTGTTACAGTTGTGTGTTATAGTTGTGTGTTACAGTTGTGTGTTACAGTTGTGTGTTGTTGTGTGTGCAGTGGACCCTCCAGTCCCAGATTGTGTATCAGGACGTTATCTTCCAGAGTTTGTTCCGCCGACTCCAGAGCACGAGGCCGTGGTCTTCGCAGCTGTGCTCCAGCCCTTCATCGTCACCATCGTCTTCATCGCCAACTTCTCCTTGTGAGACGTTTACACTCGATTTTATTAGATCCATTTGTCTCTTTTCAAAGTCACAACAAAGCAACAAAATCCACTTTCATTTAACTCAATTTATTCTTGTATCGGCCTAAATCAGAGACTTAAAGGAGCTATACCCGTTTCTACAGTTTGAATATTTAGCCCTGCCCCCAACTCGCTCACAGGCTTCTCATTTCCCCTACGCTCTCCTCCCACAGAGCCATCTAGTTTTATTTGTGATCTATATGCTAACATTAGCATTAGCGCAACTTCATGTAAACTGTACAACAATCACTGATGAAATGGTACAAAAGCACAATATATAACTGAAAGATTAACGCTAGTTCCACGTCTGAATGCAGTCCGAGCGTAGATAGTCAGAGCGTAGATAGTCCGAGCGTAGTTAGTCCGAGCGTAGATAGTCCGAGCGTAGATAGTCCGAGCGTAGATAGTCCGAGCATAGATAGTCTGAGCGTAGACAGTCCGAGCGTAGACAGTCCGAGCGTAGATAGTCCGAGCGTAGACAGTCCGAGCGTAGATAGTCCGAGCGTAGACAGTCCGAGCGTAGATAGTCTGAACGTAGATAGTCCAAACGTAGATAGTTCGAGCGTAGATAGTTCGAGCGTAGATAGTCCAAGCGTAGACAGTAGATAGTCCGAGCGTAGACAGTAGATAGTCCGAGTGTAGATAGTCCGAGCGTAGATAGTCAGAGCGTAGATAGTCCGAGTGTAGATAGTCAGAGCGTAGATCGTCCGAGTGTAGATAGTCCGAGCGTAGATAGTCCGAGCGTAGATAGTCTGAGCGTAGATAGTCCTAGCGTAGACAGTAGATTGTCCAAGCGTAGACAGTAGATAGTCCGAGTGTAGATAGTCCGAGCGTAGATAGTCAGAGCGTAGATAGTCCGAGTGTAGATAGTCAGAGCGTAGATAGTCCGAGCGTAGATAGTCCGAGCGTAGATAGTCCGAGCGTAGATAGTCAGAGCGTAGATAGTCCGAGCGTAGATAGTCAGAGCGTAGATAGTCAGAGCGTAGATAGTCCTAGTGTAGATAGTCCGAGCGTAGATAGTCCGAGTGTAGATAGTCCGAGTGTAGATAGTCCGAGTGTAGATAGTCAGAGCGTAGATAGTCCGAGCGTAGACAGTCCGAGTGTAGATAGTCCGAGTGTAGATAGTCCGAGCGTAGATAGTCTGAGCGTAGATAGTCCGAGCGTAGATAGTCTGAGCGTAGATAGTCCGAGCGTAGATAGTCCTAGCGTAGATAGTCCGAGCGTAGATAGTCCGAGTGTAGATAGTCCGAGCGTAGATAGTCCGAGTGTAGATAGTCCGAGTGTAGATAGTCCGAGCGTAGATAGTCTGAGCGTAGATAGTCCGAGCGTAGATAGTCTGAGCGTAGATAGTCCGAGCGTAGATAGTCCGAGCGTGGATAGTCCGAGCGTGGATAGTCCGAGCGTGGATAGTCCGAGCGTAGATAGTCCGAGCGTAGATAGTCAGAGCGTAGACAGTCCGAGCACAGATAGTCTGAGCGTAGATAGTCCGAGCGTAGATAGTCCGAGCGTAGATAGTCCGAGTGAGATAGTCCGAGTGTAGATAGTCCGATCGTAGATAGTCCGAGTGTAGATAGTCCGAGTGTAGATAGTCAGAGTGTAGATAGTCCGAGCGTGGATAGTCCGAGCGTGGATAGTCCGAGCGCAGATAGTCTGAGCGTGGATAGTCCGAGCGTAGATAGTCCGAGCGTGGATAGTCCGAGCGTGGATAGTCCGAGCGCAGATAGTCTGAGCGTAGATAGTCCGAGCGTAGATAGTCAGAGCGTAGACAGTCCGAGCACAGATAGTCAGAGCGTAGATAGTCCTAGCGTAGATAGTCTGAGCGTGGATAGTCCGAGCGTAGATAGTCCGAGCGTAGATAGTCCGAGCGTGGATAGTCCGAGCGCAGATAGTCTGAGCGTAGATAGTCCGAGCGTAGATAGTCAGAGCGTAGATAGTCGGAGCGTAGATAGTCCGAGCACAGATAGTCCGAGCGCAGATAGTCTGAGCGTAGATAGTCCGAGCGTAGATAGTCCGAGTGAGATAGTCCGAGTGTAGATAGTCCGATCGTAGATAGTCCGAGTGTAGATAGTCCGAGCGTGGATAGTCCGAGCGCAGATAGTCTGAGCGTGGATAGTCCGAGCGTAGATAGTCCGAGCGTGGATAGTCCGAGCGTGGATAGTCCGAGCGCAGATAGTCCGAGCGTAGATAGTCCTAGCGTAGATAGTCCGAGCGTAGATAGTCCGAGCGTAGATAGTCCGAGCGTGGATAGTCCAAGCGTAGATAGTCAGAGCGTAGACAGTCCGAGCACAGATAGTCAGAGCGTAGATAGTCCTAGCGTAGATAGTCCGAGCGTAGATAGTCCGAGTGTAGACAGTCCAAGCGTAGACAGTCCGAGCGTAGATAGTCCGAGCGTGGATAGTCCGAGCGCAGATAGTCTGAACGTAGATAGTCAGAGCGTAGACAGTCCGAGCGATAGTCAGAGCATAGATAGTCCGAGCGTAGATAGGCCGAGCGTAGATAGTCTGAGCATAGATAGTCCAAGCGTAGATAGTCCGAGCGTAGATAGTCTGAGCGTAGATAGTCCGGGCGTAGATAGTCCGAGCGTAGATAGTCAGAGCGTAGACAGTCCGAGCGATAGTCCGAGCGTAGATAGTCCGAGCGTAGATAGTCCGAGTGTAGATAGTCCGAGCGTAGATAGTCCGAGTGTAGATAGTCCGAGTGTAGACAGTCCAAGCGTAGACAGTCCGAGCGTAGATAGTCCGAGCGTGGATAGTCCGAGCGCAGATAGTCCGAGCGCAGATAGTCTGAGCGTAGATAGTCAGAGCGTAGACAGTCCGAGCGATAGTCCGAGCGTAGATAGTCCGAGCGTAGATAGTCCGAGTGTAGATAGTCCGAGCGTAGATAGTCCGAGTGTAGATAGTCCGAGCGTAGATAGTCCGAGTGTAGATAGTCCGAGTGTAGACAGTCCAAGCGTAGACAGTCCGAGCGTAGATAGTCCGAGCGTGGATAGTCCGAGCGCAGATAGTCCGAGCGCAGATAGTCTGAGCGTAGATAGTCAGAGCGTAGACAGTCCGAGCGATAGTCCGAGCGTAGATAGTCCGAGCGTAGATAGTCCGAGTGTAGATAGTCCGAGCGTAGATAGTCCGAGTGTAGATAGTCCGAGCGTAGATAGTCCGAGTGTAGACAGTCCAAGCGTAGACAGTCCGAGCGTAGATAGTCCGAGCGTAGATAGTCTGAGCGTAGATAGTCCGAGCGTAGATAGTCCGAGGCGGTCCCGCAGGTCTCTCCCATAGACCAGTCTCTCCAGAGGATACGATGTAAGCTAGCTCTGTTCAGGGCTTGGTTTCTTCTTTGATCATGTTGTGGCTTTCGTTCCTCTTCTCTTCCTCACTGTTGTGTGGTTTGGGCTGTTTTGCTGTGTCTGCAGTTACAGCCAGAGGAGTTATAGCCACTTATGCTAACATGCTACTGTGTTTAGCAGCGCTGTAGAGGCTGTGATTGGAGGAGAGCGGGCGTCACGCTAAAGTCTCTACTCAGCACTTTTTACGGTCTGAGTTCATACACAGCTTAATCAATGAGCTCAAGTTTTACAGTAAATTACAGATTATAATACAACTTATTTGTAGTAATAAGCATTTTTATGAACTCATTAGAAAATACATTGGGTTCAGCTTCTTTATTGAAACCATTGAAATCACCAACACAGATCAGAGAATCAACAGTTAAAACACAGAGAGAGCACATGGTATTGGTCCAGAGGGACAGACCACATGGTATTGATCCAGAAGGAGAGACCACATGGTATTGGTCCAGAGGGAGAGAGCACATGGTATTGGTCCAGAGGGACAGACCACATGGTATTGATCCAGAAGGAGAGACCACATGGTATTGGTCCAGAGGGAGAGACCACATGGTATTGGTCCAGAGGGACAGACCACATGGTATTGATCCAGAAGGAGAGACCACATGGTATTGGTCCAGAGGGAGAGAGCACATGGTATTGGTCCAGAGGGAGAGAGCACATGGTATTGGTCCAGAGGGAGAGAGCACATGGTATTGGTCCAGAAGGAGAGAGCACATGGTATTGGTCCAGAGGGAGAGAGCACATGGTATTGGTCCAGAAGGAGAGAGCACATGGTATTGGTCCAGAAGGAAAGACCAATGTCCATGAATATTGTAGAATGTTAGAGAGGTTTTGCAGGGGAGGAAGGACCTTGTTGTACAGTCTGACAGCAGCAGGGAGGAAGGACCTTGTTGTACAGTCTGACAGCAGCAGGGAGGAAGGACCTTGTTGTACAGTCTGACAGCAGTGTGTTGTTGCAGGTCCCCGGAGCTCGTCCATAACGGTCCGGTCAACATGACGGTTGTCCGCACCGCGACCCAAGAGTTCTCTCTGGTCTGGACTCCAGCAAAGGATCATGGGAACCAGCAGCAGCCGGTGTGCTACGTCGTGGAAGTCACCTCTCTGTACGACCTTTACCGTCATCTGTTATTTCTGTCTTTAATAATGAAAAAACAGCCAAAAGAGGAATTTTACAAGATTTTATAAATAAAAGTTTATAATCGGACATCACAGCAGCAAAAGTAAAACTAAACTTTATTATCCTTATTATAATTCTGTAACAGTAACACAATACAATTAGCTAATATCAATGAGGGTTCTCTCCTCTCTCTGGTCTCTCTCTGGTCTCTCTCTGGTCTCTCTCTGGTCTCTCTCTGGTCTCTCTCTGGTCTCTTTCTGGTCTCTCTCTGGTCTCTCTCTGGTCTCTCTCTGGTCTCTCTCTCTGGTCTCTCTCTGGTCTCTTTCTGATCTCTCTCTGGTCTCTCTCTGGTCTCTCTGTTATCTCTCTGGTCTCTCTCTGGTCTCTCTTATCTCTGTGGTCTCTGTCTGGTCTCTCTCAGGTCCACACGGGTCTTCGGTGTGACCGTGTGTGTGTTTCAGGGTGGGCAGGCATCAGTCGGAGCAGCGGTGTTTCGTGGTGATCGTTGTGAACGGTGGGATCATGTGACATCACTTTCTCTCAAACCAAACCAAAGAAAAACATGAACCTCTGCTTCTGTGAACAGCTCCTCAGTTCCTGTCTGTGACTCCAGCAAATAACTCAGTCCTCTCGGTCTCACTGGGTCACACTCTGACTGTCCCGGTCCATGTGGAGACGCCCTCATCGTAAGACTATAACTGTCTATAACAGTCACATGACACACACATGTGTCTTTAACAGTCACATGACACATGTGTGTCTATAACAGTCACATGACACACACGTGTGTCTGTAACAGTCACATGACACACATGTGTCTATAACAGTCACATGACACACGCGTGTGTCTATAACAGTCACATGACACACATGTGTCTGTAACAGTCACATGACACACACATGTGTCTTTAACAGTCACATGACACATGTGTGTCTATAACAGTCACATGACACACATGTGTCTGTAACAGTCACATGACACACACATGTGTCTATAACAGTCACATGACACACATGTGTCTGTAACAGTCACATGACACACACATGTGTCTATAACAGTCACATGACACACACGTGTGTCTGTAACAGTCACATGACACATGTGTGTCTATAACAGTCACATGACACACACGTGTGTCTGTAACAGTCACATGACACACACATGTGCCTATAACAGTCACATGACACACACATGTGTCTTTAACAGTCACATGACACACACATGTGTCTATAACAGTCACATGACACACAAATGTGTCTATAACAGTCACATGACACACACGTGTGTCTATAACAGTCACATGACACACACGTGTGTCTATAACAGTCACATGATACACACATGTGTCTATAACAGTCACATGACACACAAATGTGTCTATAACAGTCACATGACACACACATGTGTCTTTAACAGTCACATGACACACATGTGTCTGTAACAGTCACATGACACATGTGTGTCTATAACAGTCACATGACACACACATGTGTCTATAACAGTCACATGACACACATGTGTCTGTAACAGTCACATGACACATGTGTGTCTATAACAGTCACATGACACACACGTGTGTCTATAACAGTCACATGACACACACATGTGTCTTTAACAGTCACATGACACACACATGTGTCTATAACAGTCACATGACACACAAATGTGTCTATAACAGTCACATGACACACACATGTGTCTTTAACAGTCACATGACACACACGTGTGTCTATAACAGTCACATGACACACGTGTGTCTATAACAGTCACATGACACACACATGTGTCTTTAACAGTCACATGACACACATGTGTCTATAACAGTCACATGACACACACATGTGTCTATAACAGTCACATGACACACACGTGTGTCTATAACAGTCACATGACACACACATGTGTCTATAACAGTCACATGACACACACACATGTGTCTATAACAGTCACATGACACACACATGTGTCTTTAACAGTCACATGACACACACATGTGTCTATAACAGTCACATGACACACAAATGTGTCTATAACAGTCACATGACACACATGTGTCTATAACAGTCACATGACACACACATGTGTCTTTAACAGTCACATGACACACACATGTGTCTATAACAGTCACATGACACACACATGTGTCTATAACAGTCACATGACACACACATGTGTCTTTAACAGTCACATGACACACACGTGTGTCTATAACAGTCACATGACACACACATGTGTCTATAACAGTCACATGACACACACACATGTGTCTATAACAGTCACATGACACACACATGTGTCTTTAACAGTCACATGACACACACATGTGTCTATAACAGTCACATGACACACAAATGTGTCTATAACAGTCACATGACACACACATGTGTCTTTAACAGTCACATGACACACACGTGTGTCTATAACAGTCACATGACACACGTGTGTCTATAACAGTCACATGACACACACATGTGTCTTTAACAGTCACATGACACACATGTGTCTATAACAGTCACATGACACACATGTGTGTCTATAACAGTCACATGACACACACATGTGTCTATAACAGTCACATGACACACACACATGTGTCTATAACAGTCACATGACACACACATGTGTCTTTAACAGTCACATGACACACACATGTGTCTATAACAGTCACATGACACACAAATGTGTCTATAACAGTCACATGACACACATGTGTCTATAACAGTCACATGACACACACATGTGTCTTTAACAGTCACATGACACACACATGTGTCTATAACAGTCACATGACACACACATGTGTCTTTAACAGTCACATGACACACACGTGTGTCTATAACAGTCACATGACACACACATGTGTCTATAACAGTCACATGACACACACACATGTGTCTATAACAGTCACATGACACACACGTGTGTCTATAACAGTCACATGACACACAAATGTGTCTATAACAGTCACATGACACACACATGTGTCTTTAACAGTCACATGACACACACATGTGTCTATAACAGTCACATGACACACAAATGTGTCTATAACAGTCACATGACACACACTTGTGTCTATAACAGTCACATGACACACATGTGTCTATAACAGTCACATGACACACACATATGTCTATAACAGTCACATGACACACACATGTGTCTATAACAGTCACATGACACACGTGTGTCTATAACAGTCACATGACACACACATATGTCTATAACAGTCACATGACACACACATGTGTCTATAACAGTCACATGACACACATGTGTCTATAACAGTCACATGACACACAAATGTGTCTTTAACAGTCACATGACACACATGTGTCTATAACAGTCACATGACACACAAATGTGTCTTTAACAGTCACATGACACACACTTGTGTCTATAAAAGTCACATGACACACACATGTGTCTATAACAGTCACATGACACACACGTGTGTCTATAACAGTCACATGACACACACACGTGTCTATAACAGTCATATGACACACACGTGTGTCTATAACAGTCACATGACACACACGTGTGTCTATAACAGTCACATGACACACACATGTGTCTATAACAGTCACATGACACACAAATGTGTCTATAACAGTCACATGACACACACTTGTGTCTATAACAGTCACATGACACACATGTGTCTTTAACAGTCACATGACACACGTGTGTCTATAACAGTCACATGACACACACATGTGTCTTTAACAGTCACATGACACACACTTGTGTCTTTAACAGTCACATGACACACACGTGTGTCTTTAACAGTCACATGACACACACTTGTGTCTATAACAGTCACATGACACACGTGTGTCTATAACAGTCACATGACACACACATGTGTCTTTAACAGTCACATGACACACACATGTCTTTAACAGTCACATGACACACACTTGTGTCTATAACAGTCACATGACACACGTGTGTCTATAACAGTCACATGACACACACATGTGTCTTTAACAGTCACATGACACACACATGTCTTTAACAGTCACATGACACACACTTGTGTCTTTAACAGTCACATGACACACACGTGTCTATAACAGTCACATGACACACACTTGTGTCTATAACAGTCACATGACACACACATGTGTCTTTAACAGTCACATGACACACACATGTCTTTAACAGTCACATGACACACACACATGTGTCTATAACAGTCACATGACACACACACGTGTCTATAACAGTCATATGACACACACGTGTGTCTATAACAGTCACATGACACACACGTGTGTCTATAACAGTCACATGACACACACATGTGTCTATAACAGTCACATGACACACAAATGTGTCTATAACAGTCACATGACACACAAATGTGTCTATAACAGTCACATGACACACACATGTGTCTTCAACAGTCACATGACACACATGTGTCTATAACAGTCACATGACACACACATGTGTCTATAAAAGTCACATGACACACATGCGTGTCTATAACAGTCACATGACACACATGTGTCTTTAACAGTCACATGACACACACACATGTGTCTATAAAAGTCACATGACACACACATGTGTCTATAACAGTCACATGACACACACATGTGTCTTTAACAGTCACATGACACACACATGTGTCTTCAACAGTCACATGACACACATGTGTCTATAACAGTCACATGACACACACGTGTGTCTATAACAGTCACATGACACACACATGTGTCTATAACAGTCACATGACACACACACGTGTCTATAACAGTCATATGACACACACATGTGTCTATAAAAGTCACATGACACACACGCGTGTCTATAACAGTCACATGACACACACATGTGTCTATAAAAGTCACATGACACACACATGTGTCTATAACAGTCACATGACACACACACGTGTCTATAACAGTCATATGACACACACGTGTGTCTATAACAGTCACATGACACACATGTGTCTATAACAGTCACATGACACACACATGTGTCTATAACAGTCACATGACACACACACATGTGTCTATAACAGTCACATGACACACATGTGTCTATAACAGTCACATGACACACACATGTGTCTTTAACAGTCACATGACACACACACATGTGTCTATAACAGTCACATGACACACACATGTGTCTATAACAGTCACATGACACACACGTGTCTATAACAGTCACATGACACACACGTGTCTATAACAGTCACATGACACACACACATGTGTCTTTAACAGTCACATGACACACACGTGTGTCTATAACAGTCACATGACACACACATGTGTCTATAACAGTCACATGACACACACATGTGTCTATAACAGTCACATGACACACACATGTGTCTATAACAGTCACATGACACACACATGTGTCTATAACAGTCACATGACACACACATGTGTCTATAACAGTCACATGACACACACATGTGTCTTTAACAGTCACATGACACACACATGTGTCCATAACAGTCACATGACACATATTTCATATCTTCCTTCTCCATTGAAATACATTGAAAATTATGTTCATGTTATTTATGTTGATATTTTGAGGCAGATCCAATCAGAGCAGGAGGAGGCTCATGTGGGTTGCCAGGTTGTAAAGTGACATTGAGGTGGATCTGGCTCCATTTTTTATTAAGTAAAAAAACACATGAAAAGTCAAACAAACTTCACAAGTTAGTTCCATTTCTAGTTAAACTCTGGTCTCTCACTGGTCTCTCTCTGGCCTCTCTCTGGTGTCTCTCTCTGGTCTCTCTCTGGTCTCTCTCTGGTCCCTCTCTGGTCTCTCTCTGGTCTCTCTCTGGTCTCTCTCTCTGGTCTCTCTCTCTGGTCAGCTCTGGTTCAGATCCCTTCCCTCTGTGTTCCAGTCCTTACGGGTTGGTATTTCAGGGTCCCGCAAACATGACCCTGAACTCCACCTTAGGCGGAGATCACTTCCTGCTGCGATGGACGCCGTCTGCGGTCGACGTGAGGAAGAACGTGACCCTCGTCTTCTTCGCCGTGTTTCACAACTTTGTACAAAGGTATTTACACCTGTCTCAAAAGGGTTAAAAACTGATACCACAGAGATCATGTTTATGATGAAGACTAACAGCTGCAGTGTGTGACTGAAGTGTTTGTTAAATACTTTAATAACAAGAGTCGCACAAGTGTTTAGGGCAGTGATTAAAAGTAAACAACAGACTCTACTTAGAAATACTACAAAATAATGTATACATATTTTCCAACATGGATTATTGCTGATTAAAACAGTAAAGGTCCCACAACTGAGGCCTGGGAGACTCCTCTAGTGGATTTTCACCATTGGAAGGTCTAGGTCTGAGAAAATAGACCCAGGACTGAGGCCGTAGATCCAGGACTGAGGCCGTAGACCCAGGACTGAGGCCGTAGACCCAGGACTGAGGCCGTAGACCCAGGACTGAGGCTGTAGACCCAGGACTGAGGCCGTAGACCCAGGACTGAGGCTGTAGACCCAGGACTGAGGCCGTAGACCCAGGACTGAGGCTTTAGACCCAGGACTGAGGCTGTAGACCCAGGACTGAGGCCGTAGACCCAGGACTGAGGCTGTAGACCCAGGACTGAGGCCGTAGACCCAGGACTGAGGCTGTAGACCCAGGACTGAGGCCGTAGACCCAGGACTGAGGCTTTAGACCCAGGACTGAGGCTGTAGACCCAGGACTGAGGCTGTAGACCCAGGACTGAGGATGTAGACCCAGGACTGAGGCCGTAGACCCTGAAGCCTAAACACTGAATAACGTGTTTTTCTCTTCAGCCCAAATCCTCTCCATGGGATTTATCAGTCAGAGCTGCGAAAAGTCACAATCACAGTCAACGGTAAGAACAGTCTATACTATCTACAGTCTATACTATCCACAGTCTATCCACAGTCTATACTATCCACAGTCTATCCACAGTCTATACTATCCACAGTCTATCCACAGTCTATACTATCTACAGTCTATACTATCTACAGTCTATCCACAGTCTATACTATCTACAGTCTATACTATCCACAGTCTATCCACAGTCTATACTATCCACAGTCTATACTATCTACAGTCTATACTATCTACAGTCTATCCACAGTCTATACTATCTACAGTCTATACTATCCACAGTCTATCCACAGTCTATACTATCCACAGTCTATACTATCTACAGTCTATACTATCCACAGTCTATCCACAGTCTATACTATCTACAGTCTATACTATCCACAGTCTATCCACAGTCTATACTATCTACAGTCTATACTATCCACAGTCTATCCACAGTCTATACTATCCACGGTCTATACTATCCACAGTCTATACTATCCACGGTCTATACTATCCACAGTCTATACTATCCACAGTCTATACTATCTACAGTCTATACTATCCAGTCTATACTATCCACAGTCTATACTATCCACAGTCTATACTATCTACAGTCTATACTATCCACAGTCTATACTATCCACAGTCTATACTATCCACAGTCTATACTATCCACAGTCTATACTATCCACAGTCTATACTATCCACAGTCTATACTAAAGTATCTCTTCATCTTTGTCTTAAATATTACAGATGTGGGTATAGAGACGCCCAGAAACACAGGTGAGGCTGTAGACCCAGGACTGAGGCTGTAGACCCAGGACTGAGGCTGTAGACCCAGGACTGAGAATGTAGACCCAGGACTGAGGCCGTAGACCTAGGACTGAGAATGTAGGCCCAGGACTGAGGCTGTAGACCCAGGACTGAGAATGTAGACCCAGGACTGAGGCTGTAGACCCAGGACTGCGGCTGTAGACCCAGGACTGCGGCTGTAGACCCAGGACTGAGGCTGCAGACCCAGGACTGAGGCTGTAGACCCAGGACTGAGAATGTAGACCCAGGACTGAGGCCGTAGACCTAGGACTGAGAATGTAGACCCAGGACTGAGGCTGCAGACCCAGGACTGAGGCTGTAGACCCAGGACTGAGGCTGCAGACCCAGGACTGAGGCTGTAGACCCAGGACTGAGGCTGTAGACCCAGGACTGAGGAGTAGAAGGATCAATGAGGAGCAGGAGGAGCAGGAGGATCAGTGAGGAGCAGGAGGAGCAGGAGGATCAGTGAGGAGCAGGAGGAGCAGGAGGATCAGTGAGGAGCAGAAGGAGCAGGAGGAGCAGGAGGATCAGCGAGGAGCAGGAGGATCAGTGAGGAGCAGGAGGAGCAGAAGGATCAGTGAGGAGCAGAAGGAGCAGGAGGATCAGTGAGGAGCAGGAGGAGCAGGAGGAGCAGGAGGATCAGTGAGGAGCAGGATGAGCAGGAGGATCAGTGAGGAGCAGAAGGAGCAGTGAGGAGCAGAAGGAGCAGGAGGATCAGTGAGGGGCTGGAGGATCAGTGAGGAGCAGGAGGAGCAGGAGGATAAGTGACGAGCAGGAGGAGCAGCAGGAGGAGAAGGAGGATAAGTGAGGAGCAGGAGGAGCAGCAGGAGGAGCAGCAGGAGGAGCAGGAGGATCAGTGAGGGGCTGGAGGAGCAGGAGGAGGAGCAGGAGGATCAGTGAGGAGCAGGAGGATAAGTGAGGAGCAGGAGGAGCAGCAGGAGGAGCAGGAGGATCAGTGAGGAGCAGGAGGATAAGTGAGGAGCAGGAGGAGCAGCAGGAGCAGTGAGGAGCAGGAGGATAAGTGAGGAGCAGGAGGAGAGCAGGAGGCGCAGGAGGATCAGTGAGGAGCAGGAGGAGCAGCAGGAGGAGCAGGAGGATCAGTGAGGAGCAGGAGGAGCAGCAGGAGGAGCAGGAGGATCAGTGAGGAGCAGGAGGATAAGTGAGGAGCAGGAGGATAAGTGAGGAGCAGGAGGAGAAGCAGGAGGCGCAGGAGGATCAGTGAGGAGCAGGAGGAGCAGCAGGAGGAGCAGGAGGATCAGTGAGGAGCAGGAGGAGCAGCAGGAGGAGCAGGAGGATCAGTGAGGGGCTGGTGCTCTGTGTACTGGGTGCAGCTCTGGTCACCCCCCCAACCCAGAAATGGATAAAAGGGAAGAAAATGGATGGGGTCTTGTGTTATTATTATATTATTATGTTATTTTAATGTGAAATTACTATATTATTAGTTTTATTAGTAATAGTATTATTATTATATTATTATACAAACTGGTACTCCACATCAACTTCACTCTTCTCCCATCGCCTCAGTCTCTCTCTCTCTCTCTCTCTGAGTCTCTCTCTCTCTGAGTCTCTCTCTTTGGCCACAGCATTCCTCTCTCTCTCTCTCTGAGTCTCTCTCTCTCTGAGTCTCTCTCTTTGGCCACAGCATTCCTCTCTCTCTCTCTGAGTCTCTCTCTTTGGCCACAGCATTCCTCTCTCTCTCTCTCTGAGTCTCTCTCTCTGAGTCTCTCTCTTTGGCCACAGCATTCCTCTCTCTCTCTGAGTCTCTCTCTTTGGCCACAGCATTCCTCTCTCTCTCTGAGTCTCTCTCTTTGGCCACAGCATTCCCCTCTCTCTCTCTCTCTGAGTCTCTCTCTTTGGCCACGGCATTCCTCTCTCTCTCTCTCTGAGTCTCTCTCTTTGGCCACAGCATTCCTCTCTCTCTCTCTCTCTGAGTCTCTCTCTTTGGCCACAGCATTCCTCTCTCTCTCTCTCTGAGTCTCTCTCTTTCTCTCTCTCTGAGTCTCTCTCTCTGAGTCTCTCTCTTTGGCCACAGCATTCCTCTCTCTCTCTCTGAGTCTCTCTCTTTCTCTCTCTCTGAGTCTCTCTCTCTGAGTCTCTCTCTTTGGCCACAGCATTCCTCTCTCTCTCTCTCTCTGAGTCTCTCTCTTTGGCCACAGCATTCCTCTCTCTCTCTCTGAGTCTCTCTCTTTCTCTCTCTCTGAGTCTCTCTCTTTGGCCACAGCATTCCTCTCTCTCTCTCTCTCTGAGTCTCTCTCTTTGGCCACAGCATTCCCCTCTCTCTCTCTCTCTGAGTCTCTCTCTTTGGCCACGGCATTCCTCTCTCTCTCTCTCTGAGTCTCTCTCTTTGGCCACAGCATTCCTCTCTCTCTCTCTCTGAGTCTCTCTCTCTCTCTCTCTCTGAGTCTCTCTCTTTGGCCACAGCATTCCTCTCTCTCTCTGAGTCTCTCTCTTTGGCCACAGCATTCCTCTCTCTCTCTGAGTCTCTCTCTTTGGCCACAGCATTCTCTCTCTCTCTCTCTCTGAGTCTCTCTCTTTGGCCACGGCATTCCTCTCTCTCTCTCTCTGAGTCTCTCTCTTTGGCCACAGCATTCCTCTCTCTCTCTCTCTCTGAGTCTCTCTCTTTGGCCACAGCATTCCTCTCTCTCTCTCTCTGAGTCTCTCTCTTTGGCCACAGCATTCCTCTCTCTCTCTCTCTCTGAGTCTCTCTCTTTGGCCACAGCATTCCTCTCTCTCTCTCTCTGAGTCTCTCTCTTTGGCCACAGCATTCCCCTCTCTCTCTGAGTCTCTCTCTTTGGCCACAGCATTCCTCTCTCTCTCTGAGTCTCTCTCTTTGGCCACAGCATTCCCCTCTCTCTCTCTCTGAGTCTCTCTCTTTGGTCACAGCATTCCCCTCTCTCTCTGAGTCTCTCTCTTTGGCCACAGCATTCCCTCTCTCTCTCTGAGTCTCTCTCTTTGGCCACAGCATTCCTCTCTCTCTCTCTCTGAGTCTCTCTCTTTGGCCACAGCATTCCTCTCTCTCTCTCTCTGAGTCTCTCTCTTGGCCACAGCATTCCCCTCTCTCTCTGAGTCTCTCTCTTTGGCCACAGCATTCCTCTCTCTCTCTCTCTGAGTCTCTCTCTTTGGCCACAGCATTCCTCTCTCTCTCTCTCTGAGTCTCTCTCTTTGGCCACAGCATTCCTCTCTCTCTCTGAGTCTCTCTCTTTGGCCACAGCATTCCTCTCTCTCTCTCTCTGAGTCTCTCTCTTTGGCCACAGCATTCCTCTCTCTCTCTCTCTGAGTCTCTCTCTTTGGCCACAGCATTCCCCTCTCTCTCTGAGTCTCTCTCTTTGGCCACAGCATTCCCCTCTCTCTCTGAGTCTCTCTCTTTGGCCACAGCATTCCTCTCTCTCTCTCTCTGAGTCTCTCTCATTGGCCACAGCATTCCTCTCTCTCTCTCTCTCTGAGTCTCTCTCTTTGGCCACAGCATTCCCTCTCTCTCTGAGTCTCTCTCTTTGGCCACAGCATTCCTCTCTCTCTCTCTGAGTCTCTCTCTTTCTCTCTCTCTGAGTCTCTCTCTCTGAGTCTCTCTCTTTGGCCACAGCTTCCTCTCTCTCTCTCTCTCTGAGTCTCTCTCTTTGGCCACAGCATTCCTCTCTCTCTCTCTGAGTCTCTCTCTTTGGCCACAGCATTCTCTCTCTCTCTCTCTCTCTGAGTCTCTCTCTTTGGCCACAGCATTCCCCTCTCTCTCTCTCTGAGTCTCTCTCTTTGGCCACAGCATTCCTCTCTCTCTCTCTCTGAGTCTCTCTCTTTGGCCACGGCATTCCTCTCTCTCTCTCTCTGAGTCTCTCTCTTTGGCCACAGCATTCCCCTCTCTCTCTCTCTGAGTCTCTCTCTTTGGCCACGGCATTCCTCTCTCTCTCTGAGTCTCTCTCTTTGGCCACAGCATTCCTCTCTCTCTCTCTCTGAGTCTCTCTCTTTGGCCACAGCATTCCCCTCTCTCTCTGAGTCTCTCTCTTTGGCCACAGCATTCCTCTCTCTCTCTGAGTCTCTCTCTTTGGCCACAGCATTCCCTCTCTCTCTGAGTCTCTCTCTTTGGGCACAGCATTCCCTCTCTCTCTCTGAGTCTCTCTCTTTGGCCACAGCATTCCTCTCTCTCTCTGAGTCTCTCTCTTTGGCCTCTGGCATTCCTCTCTCTCTCTGAGTCTCTCTCTTTGGCCACAGCATCTCTCCCTCTCTCTCTCTCTCTGAGTCTCTCTCTTGGCCACAGCATTCCTCCTCTCTCTCTCTCTGAGTCTCTCTCTTTGGCCATGGCATTCTCTCTCTCTCTCTCTCTGAGTCTCTCTCTCTCTGTCTCTCTCTCTCTCTGAGTCTCTCTCTTGGCACGGCATTCCTCTCTCTCTCTGAGTCTCTCTCTTCTGGCTCTCTCTGGCCATTCTCTCTCTCTCTCTCTGAGTCTCTCTCTCTCTGCATTCCCCTCTCTCTCTGAGTCTCTCTCTTTGGCCACGGCATTCCTCTCTCTCTCTCTCTGAGTCTCTCTCTTTGGCCACATCTCTCTCTCTCTCTCTCTCTCTCTCTGGTCTCTCTCTCTCTGGTCTCTCTCTCTCTGATCTCTCTCTCTCTGATCTCTCTCTCTCTGGTCTCTCTCTCTCTCCAGCATCTCTCTCTCTCTGGTCTCTCTCTCTCTGGTCTCTCCTCTGGTCTCTCTCTCTCTGGTCTCTCTCTCTCTGATCCCTCCCTTTGGTCTCTATCCCTCTGGTCTCTCTCTCTCTGATCTCTCTCTTGGTCTCTCTCTCTCTGGTCTCTCTCTCTCTGGTCTCTCTCTCTCTGGTCTCTCTCTCTGGTCTCTCTCTAGTCTCCCTCTGGTCTCTCTCTCTCTGATCCTTCCCTCTGGTCTCTCTCTCTGATCTCTCCCTCGGGTCTCTCTCTCTCTGGTCTCTCTCTCTCTCTGGGTCTCTCTCTCTCTGATCTCTCCCTCTCTCTTCGGTCTCTCTCTCTCTGAGTCTCTCTCTTTGGCCACTCTCTCTCTCTCTCTCTCTGATCCCCCTCTGGTCTCTCTCTCTGGTCTCTCTCTGATGCTCTCTCTCTCTGGTCTCTCTCTCTCTGGTCTCTCTCTCTCTGGTCTTTCTCTCTCTGGTCTCTCTCCCTCTGGTCTCTCTCTCCCTCTGGTCTCTCTCTCTCTGGTCCTCTCTCTCTCTCTCTGGTCTCTCTCTCTGATCCCTCCCTCTCTGGTCTCTCTCTCTGGTCTCTCTCTGGTCTCCCTCTGGTCTCTCTCTCTCTGATCCTTCCCTCTGGTCTCTCTCTCTGATCTCTCCCTCGGGTCTCTCTCTCTCTGGTCTTTCTCTCTCTGATCTCTCCCTCTGGTCTCTCTCTCTCTGATCTCTCCCTCTGGTTTCTCTCTCTCTAGTCTCTCTCTGTCTGGTCTCTCTCTCTCTGATCTCTCCCTCTGGTCTCTCTCTCTCTGGTCTCTCTCCCTCTGGTCTCTCTCTCTGATCTCTCTCTCTCTGGTCTCTCTCTCTCTGATCTCTCTCTCTCTGGTCTCTCTCTCTCTGATCTCTCTCTCTCTGGTCTCTCTCTCTCTGGTCTCTCTCTCTCTGATCTCTCTCTCTCTGGTCTCTCTCTCTCTGGTCTCTCTCTCTCTGGTCTCTCTCTCTCTGGTCTCTCTCTCTCTGGTCTCTCTCTCTCTGATCTCTCTCTCTCTGGTCTCTCTCTCTCTGATCTCTCCCTCTGGTCTCTCTCCCTCTGGTCTCTCTCTCTCTGGTCTCCCTCTGGTCTCTCTCTCTCTGGTCTCTCTCTCTCTGATCCCTCCCTCTGGTCTCTATCCCTCTGGTCTCTCTCTCTCTGATCTCTCTCTCTGGTCTCTCTCTCTCTGGTCTCTCTCTCTGGTCTCTCTCTCTCTGGTCTCTCTCTCTGGTCTCTCTCTAGTCTCCCTCTGGTCTCTCTCTCTCTGATCCTTCCCTCTGGTCTCTCTCTCTGATCTCTCCCTCGGGTCTCTCTCTCTCTGGTCTCTCTCTCTCTCTGGTCTCTCTCTCTCTGATCTCTCCCTCTGGTCTCTCTCTCTCTCTGGTCTCTCTCTCTCTGATCCCTCCCTCTGGTCTCTCTCTCTGGTCTCTCTCTGATGTCTCTCTCTCTGGTCTCTGTCTCTCTGGTCTCTCTCTCCCTCTGGTCTCTCTCTCCCTCTGGTCTCTCTCTCTCTGGTCTCTCTCTCTCTCTGGTCTCTCTCTGGTCTCCCTCTGGTCTCTCTCTCTCTGATCCTTCCCTCTGGTCTCTCTCTCTGATCTCTCCCTCGGGTCTCTCTCTCTCTGGTCTTTCTCTCTCTGATCTCTCCCTCTGGTCTCTCTCTCTCTGATCTCTCCCTCTGGTTTCTCTCTCTCTAGTCTCTCTCTGTCTGGTCTCTCTCTCTCTGATCTCTCCCTCTGGTCTCTCTCTCTCTGGTCTCTCTCTCTCTCTGGTCTCTCTCTCTCTGATCTCTCCCTCTGGTCTCTCTCTGATCTCTCCCTCTGGTTTCTCTCTCTCTAGTCTCTCTCTGTCTGGTCTCTCTCTCTCTGATCTCTCCCTCTGGTCTCTCTCCCTCTGGTCTCTCTCTCTCTGGTCTCTCTCTGATCTCTCTCCCTCTGGTCTCTCTCTCTCTCTGGTCTCTCTCTCTCTGATCTCTCTCTCTGGTCTCTCTCTGATCTCTCCCTCTGGTTTCTCTCTCTCTAGTCTCTCTCTCTCTGATCTCTCCCTCTGGTCTCTCTCCCTCTGGTCTCTCTCTCTCTGGTCTCTCTCTGATCTCTCTCCCTCTGGTCTCTCTCTCTCTCTGGTCTCTCTCTCTCCCTCTGGTCTCTCTCTCTCTGATCTCTCTGGTCTCTCTCTCTCTGATCTCTCTCTCTCTGGTCTCTCTCTCTCTGATCCCTCCCTCTGGTCTCTCTCTCTCTCTGGTCTCTCTCTCTCTCTCGTTATAAAACATGACAAAGGTAACAGTCTCATTATATTTTTAATGGACAAAAATAATGCGTAATATTCCATCTTTAACAGTAGAACTCCCAGAACGTAAAGCGGTCAGATTGACTGCTCCAGAAGTGACTCATTGTGGACATTTGTGGTCCTCGTGACTTTGACAGATCTAAACGTAGTCTAAGGCTCTGGACGGATTCTGGACTGGCCTCGGACTGCGGCCTCGGACTGGTTCAGAACGGTTTTCCACCAGAGAAGACCCGGTGCTTGTTACCATAGCAACACACAGCAGCGGTTAGCATTGGCAGTTAGCATTGGCAGTTAGCATTAGCCGTTAGCTTTACCACAAACTGCTGCTGTATTTCAGTTATATTCAACAGTTTAAGCTCACAGTAAAGAGGAGTAAAGGTGAAAGATTGGGAGCAGTCAAAATGACGGCTCTGGGATCATTGGTCCGTTTCCACAGCTTTAAGAACAGATAAATAACATGATACATAGATAGGTAGAGCTATTTTTGCTTCAGAAACATATATTACATCTTCGTTGATCGTTAAAATAGTCTGAAAACACAGAGTTTACGTCAGGCACAAAAAGAAACATTAAAAAAAATCACAAATACATGAAATTAAAGCTTGTAGACGTGGGTTTTGGTCTGAGTTGTGCACATTCAGAAACACAGCGAAGCCGGACACACAATAACATCCAACATTTGTTCATTAGTGGTTTGTTTTTACGAAGCTAAAACTCTGAAATAAGTTTAAAGGTTAATTTATTTATCTGTGGATTCAGGTCGAACGGAAGCAACGGCGAAATCCTTTGTGCTTTTGTTCTAGAAGCAAAAAAACTAAACAAAATAATAATTAATGCTTGTTACACTGATGTGGCATTTAGCGGGAGGCAGAAAGTCTGGCCTTCTGTGTGGAGTTTGCATGTTCTCCCTGTGCCCAGCTGGGTTTCCTCCGGGCGCACCAAGAGGTTAAGGATACTGTAAAAAAAATAGTCCTGACCCAGATTAGATTAGGACCAACTAACACAGTCTCTATATGGGACAATCTGGAGCCAAATGTGTGGGTAGCAACGGCCTAGCAACCAAAGAGCCAATCAGGAGTGGGAGAGGCGGCTCCTGATTGGTCCGTTGTTTTGGCTCATAACTGGATACGCAAAGACAATACTAAAATAAAAACACCAGGATCACAGAGGGAGACCAGAGGGAGACCAGAGGGAGACCAGAGAGAGACCAGAGAGACCAGAGAGAGACCAAAGAGAGACCAGAGAGAGACCGGTGAGAGACCAGAGAGAGACCAGAGAGAGACCAGAGAGAGACCAAAGAGAGACCAAAGAGAGACCAGAGAGAGACCGGTGAGAGACCAGAGAGAGAGAGAGAGACTGAAGAGAGAAATCAGTGACGGACCAGACAGAGACCAGAGAGAGACCGTCATAACCATTGACTGTAAGAATCTCATTAAACCCAATCCGATACTTTTTCTGAGCAGGAATTTCCTCAAGAATGTGATTTTCTGTTATAGCGAAGCCTAAGAGAGTTTTTCTCTTGATGCAAAACCTCAAAAGTTATTTTAGGATCTAAAACACAGGAGCCACAGAAATGTCCTGGTTCAGGCACAGCTCGCACTTCGATGTGTAGCTAATCCAGTGCTAATGTTGTGATGCTAGCTCCTTCTGCCTCCAGCTAACGCCACAGTTTTGACGCTTTTAGGACATTTCTGAACAAAAAAGTCTAAAAACAAAAGTCCAAACGTGGGCAGTGTTGTTCCGTCTGTGATTGTCATTCATTCATCTCAGTCTCGTTTCTTTCTCGATTTGTGCTGCGGCTCAGAGCGAAGGCTTTGGCGAGGTCACGGCGCGGCTTCAAAAGGCAATAAATAAATAAAATGGCGTCGGCCCAAACGTGGAGAGAGCGTAAAGGCGGAGGTTTCTCTTCTGTATTGCTGTAAAGACGTGTGGCTCTAACGTAAGGCTGCGATTGAGATAATATATTTATATACATGAGAAAGGACCATGTGCAGAAAGGAGGAGACAGAAGGACCATGTGCAGAGGAGGCTCGGATTATAACCTCAGATTAGCAGATTATTGCAAACATAATAAAAGTGTGGATCCAAGTAACAAAAGAAAGGTTTAAAAATTAGGTCTGAGTTTGTACTAAATGTTTTAGAGAGAGAGAGACCAGTGAGAGAGACCAGAGAGAGAGACCAGAGAGAGACCAGAGAGAGACCAGAGAGAGACCAGAGAGAGAGACCAGAGAGAGACCAGAGAGAGACCAGAGAGACCAGAGAGAGAGAGACCAGAGAGAGACCAGAGAGAGACCAGAGAGAGACCAGAGAGAGAGAGACCAGAGAGAGCAGAGAGAGACCAGATAGAGACCAGAGAGAGACCAGAGAGAGCAGAGAGAGACCAGAGAGAGACCAGAGAGACCAGAGAGAGACCAGAGAGAGACCAGAGAGAGACCAGAGAGAGCAGAGAGAGACCAGAGAGAGACCAGAGAGAGACCAGAGAGAGACCAGAGAGAGACCAGAGAGAGACCAGAGAGAGAGAGACCAGAGAGAGCAGAGAGAGAGAGACCAGAGAGAGAGACCAGAGAGAGCAGAGAGAGACCAGAGAGAGCAGAGAGAGACCAGAGAGAGCAGAGAGAGACCAGAGAGACCAGAGAGAGCAGAGAGAGACCAGAGAGAGCAGAGAGAGAGTCTGTGTAAAGTGTAGCTCTATTCTATATTTCTATAGAAACATACAAAAGTCTTGTTCCAGTCTCCACAGTTATTCTCCCATAAAGTACTTTTGGATCCTTTGTCCTCAGACACACACACCATGGTAGTGTAGGCACCAGGACTACACACTCCATGGTTGTGTAGGCACCAGGGATACACACACTATGGTTGTGTAGGCACCAGGGCTAAAGCTAGGAACACACACAAACTATAAATACAGTCAAATCATAATAAAGCAGATAGATATTCAGTAACTCCTTCAGCAGCTGCTCTCTGTTTACTCACTGTTGTTCTGGTTCAATAACACACACACGTGTGTGTCTGTACTGTATATGTGTGTCTATGTATATGTGTCTGTACGTGTGTGTCTATGGGGTATGTGTGTGTCTGTACGTGTGTGTCTATGGGGTGTGTGTGTGTGTCTGTACGTGTGTGTCTATGGGGTATGTGTGTGTGTGTCTGTACGTGTGTGTCTATGGGGTGTGTGTGTGTGTCTGTACGTGTGTGTCTATGGGGTATGTGTGTGTCTATGGGATGTGTGTGTGTGTCTGTACGTGTGTGTCTATGGGGTGTGTGTGTGTGTCTGTACGTGTGTGTCTATGGGGTGTGTGTGTGTGTCTGTACGTGTGTGTCTATGGGGTATGTGTGTGTGTGTCTGTACGTGTGTGTCTATGGGGTGTGTGTGTGTGTCTGTACGTGTGTGTCTATGGGGTATGTGTGTGTGTCTGTACGTGTGTGTCTATGGGGTGTGTGTGTGTGTCTGTACGTGTGTGTCTATGGGGTGTGTGTGTCTGTACGTGTGTGTCTATGGGGTGTGTGTGTGTGTGTGTCTGTACGTGTGTGTCTATGGGGTGCTGACAGGAGAGCCTCTGAGGCTGTTCAGAGCAGCGTGGATCCTGAAGTGAAGCCTGGACTCCATGGAGTAATCTTTGTAGTTTGTCCTGAAGGAAAATAAAACACTGTTACACAAAGAATCATATACATTAAAGCTCAAGTATGTAACTTTCAGACCCAGACCATGCGACTGTCATACAATACACGTACCTGGTACTGGTCTCTCTCTCTGGTCTCTCTCTCTCTCTCTGGTCTCTCTCTCTGGTCTCTCTCTCTGGTCTCTCTCTCTCTCTCTCTGGTCTCTCTCTCTGGTCTCTCTCTCTGGTCTCTCTCTCTGGTCTCTCTCTCTGGTCTCTCTCTCTGGTCTCTCTCTCTGGTCTCTCTCTCTGGTCTCTCTCTGGTCTCTCTCTGGTCTCTCTCTGGTCTCTCTCTCTGGTCTCTCTCTCTGGTCTCTCTCTCTGGTCTCTCTCTCTGGTCTCTCTCTCTGGTCTCTCTCTCTGGTCTCTCTCTCTGGTCTCTCTCTGGTCTCTCTCTGGTCTCTCTCTCTGGTCTCTCTCTCTGGTCTCTCTCTCTGGTCTCTCTCTCTGTGTGTATGCATGTGTGTGTGTGCGTGTATGTGTGTACATATGTGTGTGTATCTGTATGTATGTGTGTGTGTGTATACGTGTGTGTGTGTGTGTGTGTGTGTGTGTGTGTGTGGATGTGTGTATCTGTATGTATGTGTGTGTGTGTATCTGTATGTGTGTATATATGTATGTGTGTGTGTGTATATATGTATGTGTGTGTCTGTGTGTGTGTTTATATGTATGTGTGTGTCTGTGTGTGTGTTACTGACTTGGCGTTCTCGATGAAGGCAGCAGCGCGGCTGTAGTCTCCCTGTTGTTTGTACAAGAGGCCGAGCTCGTACAGAGTGAAGGGAACCAGGAAGTGGTCATACCGGATTGTACGCTCACTGCAACAAGAGAGGAGGGAGGAGGAGAGGAGGAGAGAGGAGGAGAGAGGAGAGGAGGGAGGAGGAGACGGGAGGGAGGAGGAGAGGAGGAGAGAGGAGGAGAGAGGAGAGGAGGGAGGAGGAAGGAGAGAGGAGGAGAGAGGAGAGGAGGGAGGAGGAAGGAGGAGAGAGGAGGAAGGAGGAGAGAGGAGGAGAGAGGAGAGGAGGGAGGAGGAAGGAGGAGAGAGGAGGAAGGAGGAGAGAGGAGGGAGGGAGGAGGAGACGGGAGGGAGGAGGAGAGAGGAGAGAGGAGGAAGGAGGAGAGAGGAGAGGAGGGAGGAGGAGACGGGAGGGAGGAGGAGAGAGGAGAAAGGAGGAGGGATCAGAACTCGTCGCCTTATTCTGGAGTAGAATTTGGTGTGCCGCAGGGTTCGGTACTCGGACCGATTCTTTTCACTCTCTACATGCTGCCATTGGGAAACATTATTAAAAAGCATGGAATTAATTTCCACTGCTGCAGATGACACACAGCTTTATCTGTCGATGAAGCCTAACCAGACAGATCAGCTAGAAAAGCTCAGTGCTGCATAAAGGACCTTAAAATGTGGATGACTCTTAACTTCCTACTTCTCAACCCGGAGAAGACAGAAGTGATCCTACTCGGTCCGAAGCGCCTGCGTGACTCCCTCACTAACCAGATAATTACTCTCGATGGTGTCAGTATTGTACCCAGTGACACTGTGAGGAATCTTGGAGTCATTTTTGACCAAGAAAGAGTTACTGACAAACACTGTGTGTGTGTGTGTTTACCTGGAGAGCACCTGGGTGAAGCAGAGCTCCGCCTGCAGAGGACGTCCCAGATGTTTGAGGCACAGACCCTTCAACATCTGCACCAGACAACTGTCATCAGGATGGAACTCTGAGGGGTCTGAGGGAGACCAGGGAGAGACCAGGGTTAGACCTGCTTTGGACTTGCTTTAGGCCTGCTTTAGACCTGCTTTAGTCCTGCTTTAGTCCTGCTTTAGACCTGCTTTAGTCCTGCTTTAGTCCTGCTTTAGACCTGCTTTAGACCTGCTATAGACCTGCTTTAGACCTGCTTTAGACCTGCTTTAGACCTGCTTTAGACCTGCTCTAGACCTACTTTAGACCTGCTTTAGACCTGCTCTAGTCCTGCTCTAGTCCTGCTCTAGACCTGCTTTAGACCTGCTTTATACCTGCTCTAGACCTGTTCTAGACCTACTTTAGACCTGCTTTAGACCTGCTCTAGTCCTGCTCTAGTCCTGCTTTAGTCCTGCTTTAGTCCTGCTTTAGACCTGCTTTAGACCTGCTTTAGACCTGCTTTAGACCTGCTTTAGACCTGCTTTAGACCTGATTTAGACCTGCTTTAGACCTGCTTTAGACCTGCTTTAGACCTGCTTTAGACCTGCTTTAGTCCTGCTTTAGTCCTGCTTTGGTCCTGCTTTGGTCCTGCTTTGGTCCTGCTTTGGTCCTGCTTTGGTCCTGCTTTAGACCTGCTTTAGACCTGCTTTAGACCTGCTTTAGTCCTGCTTTAGTCCTGCTTTAGACCTGCTTTAGACCTGCTTTAGTCCTGCTTTAGACCTGCTTTAGTCCTGCTTTAGTCCTGCTTTAGTCCTGCTTTAGTCCTGCTTTAGTCCTGCTTTAGACCTGCTTTAGACCTGCTTTAGTCCTGCTTTAGACCTGCTTTAGTCCTGCTTTAGTCCTGCTTTAGTCCTGCTTTAGTCCTGCTTTAGTCCTGCTTTAGTCCTGCTTTAGTCCTGCTTTAGACCTGCTTTAGACCTGCTTTAGACCTGCTTTAGACCTGCATTAGTCCTGGTCCAGTCCTGGTTCAGTCCTGGTCCAATCCTGCTTCAGTACTGGTCCAGTCCTGGTCCAGTCCTGCTTCAGTCCTGGTCCGGTACTGGTCTTACTGGGGTCTTCTCGGAGCTGGGTCTCTGCCGTCTCGATGGTAACCAGCAGAGCCTCAGTAAAGTCCGGTCTCTTGCCGACGATGGTGAAGCCGTTCCACACGTACATCATCTCCTGGAACCATCAACACACCATCAGAGCTGAGGACTAACACCAGGTCCACACCAGGTCTCTGTCTGGTCTCTGTCTGGTCACCATAGTTACCAATGCTGGTAGGACCAGTGGGACCGGGGACGAGGACTTGTATCTTCTGGACTTCCTCACAGCAAACTTCTCTGTGGGAATAGACTTACCAGCAAGACGCTGCTTTAGGCCCTCCACCTGCCTGAGGACACCAGGAGACACCATGTGAGACACCAGGGGACACCAGGAGACACAATGTGAGACACCAGGGGACACCAGGAGACACAATGAGAGACACCAGGGGACACCATGTGAGACACCGGGAGACACCATGTGAGACACCGGGAGACACCATGTGAGACACCAGGAGACACCATGTGAGACACCGGGAGACACGATGTGAGACACCAGGGGACACCATGTGAGACACCGGGAGACACCATGTGAGAAACCAAAAGACACCATGTGAGACACCAGGAGACACCAGGGGACACCATGTGAGACACCAAAAGACATCAGGAGACACCAGGACACACAGGACACACCATGCGACACCATGTGAGACATCAGGAGACACCATGTGAGACACCGTGAGACACCATGAGACACCAGGAGACGCCATGTGAGACCATGTGTAACACCATGTGAGACCCTGAGACACCATGTGAGGACACCAGGAGACACAATCGCACTCACAGTCTTAAACACACATTATGAAACATTGTCTTTTGTGGCAAACCTGAAAAGTTCTACGACGTTCTCCCCGGTCTTCTTCACCTGCTCCTCCGTCATCATACTGAGGATCGCTGCTTTCTGGTAAACGTAGATCGCCTTCAGGACAAACAAACCATGTGTCGTCAGCGGCAACAGAAGAAAACTCACCATTAAACTCTGTGTGCTGCAGTGGGCTACTCTGCCTGAGCTGAAGTTGGCTGGATGACACTGTATGATCTCAGAGACTAGTTTGAGTTAGCAGCAGAGGACCACAGAACAGGACACATAGGGCCGTGTTTGGCTCGCGGGCCTCAGTTTGGAAACTGATCTAAAGCCTGTGAATGTAACATGGATGAAGACCCGCTCTTCTTCAGCATTAGCCTACATTAGCCTACAATAGTCTACGTTAGCCTAAATTAGACTCCATCGCTGTGTGAAGGAGCTCTATATGTACAGTATATAACTCCTGTCTATATGTACAGTATATAACTCCTGCTCTATATGTACAGTATATAACTCCTGCTCTATGTGTACAGTATATAACTTCTATAAGCCTACCTTGGACCAGCGGCTCTCCACACACAGCAGCTGTGCGTAGTGATACATCAGCCTACATTAGCCTACATGAGCCTTCATGAGCCTACCTTGGACCAGTGGCTCTCCACACACAGCAGCTGTGCGTAGTGGTACATTAGTCTACATGAGCCTACCTTGGACCAGCGGCTCTCCACACACAGCAGCTGTGCGTAGTGGTACATTAGTCTACATGAGCCTACCTTGGACCAGCGGCTCTCCACACACAGCAGCTGTGCGTAGTGGTACATTAGACTACATTAGCCTACATGAGCCTTCATGAGCCTACCTTGGACCAGTGGCTTTCCACACACAGCAGCTGTGCGTAGTGGTACATTAGTCTACATGAGCCTACCTTGGACCAGCGGCTCTCCACACACAGCAGCTGTGCGTAGTGGTACATTAGCCTACATTAGCCTACATGAGCCTAAATTGGACCAGCGGCTCTCCACACACACAGCAGCTGTGCGTAGTGGTACATTAGCCTACATTAGCCTTCATGAGCCTTCATGAGCCTTCATGAGTCTACCTTGGACCAGCGGCTCTCCACACACAGCAGCTGTGCGTAGTGGTACATTAGCCTACATGAGCCTACCTTGGACCAGCGGCTCTCCACACACAGCAGCTGTGCGTAGTGGTACATTAGCCTACATTAGCCTACATGAGCCTACCTTGGACCAGCGGCTCTCCACACACTGCAGCTGTGCGTAGTGGTACATTAGCCTACATGAGCCTACCTTGGACCAGCGGCTCTCCACACACTGCAGCTGTGCGTAGTGGTACATTAGCCTACATTAGCCTACATGAGCCTACCTTGGACCAGCGGCTCTCCACACACAGCAGCTGTGCGTAGTGGTACATTAGCCTACATTAGCCTTCATGAGCCTTCATGAGCCTACCTTGGACCAGCGGCTCTCCACACACAGCAGCTGTGCGTAGTGGTACATTAGTCTACATGAGCCTACCTTGGACCAGCGGCTCTCCACACACAGCAGCTGTGCGTAGTGGTACATTAGTCTACATGAGCCTACCTTGGACCAGCGGCTCTCCACACACAGCAGCTGTGCGTAGTGGTACATTAGACTACATTAGCCTACATGAGCCTTCATGAGCCTACCTTGGACCAGTGGCTTTCCACACACAGCAGCTGTGCGTAGTGGTACATTAGTCTACATGAGCCTACCTTGGACCAGCGGCTCTCCACACACAGCAGCTGTGCGTAGTGGTACATTAGCCTACATTAGCCTACATGAGCCTAAATTGGACCAGCGGCTCTCCACACACACAGCAGCTGTGCGTAGTGGTACATTAGCCTACATTAGCCTTCATGAGCCTTCATGAGCCTTCATGAGTCTACCTTGGACCAGCGGCTCTCCACACACAGCAGCTGTGCGTAGTGGTACATTAGCCTACATGAGCCTACCTTGGACCAGCGGCTCTCCACACACAGCAGCTGTGCGTAGTGGTACATTAGCCTACATTAGCCTACATGAGCCTACCTTGGACCAGCGGCTCTCCACACACTGCAGCTGTGCGTAGTGGTACATTAGCCTACATGAGCCTACCTTGGACCAGCGGCTCTCCACACACTGCAGCTGTGCGTAGTGGTACATTAGCCTACATTAGCCTACATGAGCCTACCTTGGACCAGCGGCTCTCCACACACAGCAGCAGCTGTGCGTAGTGGTACATTAGCCTACATTAGCCTTCATGAGCCTTCATGAGCCTACCTTGGACCAGCGGCTCTCCACACACAGCAGCTGTGCGTAGTGGTACATTAGCCTACATTAGCCTACATGAGCCTACCTTGGACCAGCGGCTCTCCACACACTGCAGCTGTGCGTAGTGGTACATTAGCCTACATGAGCCTACCTTGGACCAGCGGCTCTCCACACACTGCAGCTGTGCGTAGTGGTACATTAGCCTACATTAGCCTACATGAGCCTACCTTGGACCAGCGGCTCTCCACACACTGCAGCTGTGCGTAGTGGTACATTAGCCTACATTAGCCTACATGAGCCTACCTTGGACCAGTGGCTCTCCACACACTGCAGCTGTGCGTAGTGGTACATTAGCCTACATTAGCCTACATGAGCCTACCTTGGACCAGCGGCTCTCCACACACTGCAGCTGTGCGTAGTGGTACATTAGCCTACATTAGCCTACCTTGGACCAGCGGCTCTCCACACACTGCAGCTGTGCGTAGTGGTACATTAGCCTACATTAGCCTACATGAGCCTACCTTGGACCAGCGGCTCTCCACACACTGCAGCTGTGCGTAGTGGTACATTAGCCTACATTAGCCTACCTTGGACCAGCGGCTCTCCACACACTGCAGCTGTGCGTAGTGGTACATTAGCCTACATTAGTCTACATGAGCCTACCTTGGACCAGCGGCTCTCCACACACTGCAGCTGTGCGTAGTGGTACATTAGCCTACATTAGCCTACATTAGCCTACATGAGCCTACATGAGCCTACCTTGGACCAGCGGCTCTCCACACACAGCAGTTGTGCGTAGTGGTACATTTGCCTACATTAGCCTACATGAGCCTACCTTGGACCAGCGGCTCTCCACACACTGCAGCTGTGCGTAGTGGTACATTAGCCTACATTAGCCTACATGAGCCTACCTTGGACCAGCGGCTCTCCACACACAGCAGCTGTGCGTAGTGGTACATTAGCCTACATTAGTCTACATGAGCCTACCTTGGACCAGCAGCTCTCCACACACTGCAGCTGTGCGTAGTGGTACATTAGCCTACATTAGCCTACATGAGCCTACCTTGGACCAGCAGCTCTCCACACACTGCAGCTGTGCGTAGTGGTACATTAGCCTACATTAGTCTACATGAGCCTACCTTGGACCAGCAGCTCTCCACACACTGCAGCTGTGCGTAGTGGTACATTAGCCTACATTAGTCTACATGAGCCTACCTTGGACCAGCGGCTCTCCACACACTGCAGCTGTGCGTAGTGGTACATTAGCCTACATTAGCCTACCTTGGACCAGCGGCTCTCCACACACTGCAGCTGTGCGTAGTGGTACATTAGCCTACATTAGTCTACATGAGCCTACCTTGGACCAGCGGCTCTCCACACACAGCAGCTGTGCGTAGTGGTACATTAGCCTACATGAGCCTACCTTGGACCAGCGGCTCTCCACACACTGCAGCTGTGCGTAGTGGTACATTAGCCTACATTAGCCTACATGAGCCTACATGAGCCTACCTTGGACCAGCGGCTCTCCACACACAGCAGTTGTGCGTAGTGGTACATTTGCCTACATTAGCCTACATGAGCCTACCTTGGACCAGCGGCTCTCCACACACTGCAGCTGTGCGTAGTGGTACATTAGCCTACATTAGCCTACATGAGCCTACCTTGGACCAGCGGCTCTCCACACACAGCAGCTGTGCGTAGTGGTACATTAGCCTACATTAGTATACATGAGCCTACCTTGGACCAGCAGCTCTCCACACACTGCAGCTGTGCGTAGTGGTACATTAGCCTACATTAGCCTACATGAGACTACCTTGGACCAGCGGCTCTCCACACACAGCAGCTGTGCGTAGTGGTACATTAGCCTACATTAGTATACATGAGCCTACCTTGGACCAGCAGCTCTCCACACACTGCAGCTGTGCGTAGTGGTACATTAGCCTACATTAGTCTACATGAGCCTACCTTGGACCAGCGGCTCTCCACACACAGCAGCTGTGCGTAGTGGTACATTAGCCTACATTAGTCTACATGAGCCTACCTTGGACCAGCAGCTCTCCACACACTGCAGCTGTGCGTAGTGGTACATTAGCCTACATTAGTCTACATGAGCCTACCTTGGACCAGCGGCTCTCCACACACAGCAGCTGTGCGTAGTGGTACATTAGCCTACATTAGCCTACATTAGTCTACATGAGCCTACCTTGGACCAGCAGCTCTCCACACACTGCAGCTGTGCGTAGTGGTACATTAGCCTACATTAGTCTACATGAGCCTACCTTGGACCAGCGGCTCTCCACACACAGCAGCTGTGCGTAGTGGTAGGCCTCCTCCCACTGCTGCTGGAAGGAGTGAGTCCACATCAGTTCCCAGTAACACAAGTGATGGATCTGTCTCCACTCGTTCTGAGAGCGCACACACTCCTCGAACCGACACACGGCCTGCAACACAACACACCAGATCCAGACCTATCCAGACCAGACCAGACCATGGAACAGTCTCCGCCCACTTTACCTTCTCCAGCTGCCCCCTCAGAGTGCAGATCCGGGCGGAGTAGAAGAGGATGATGGAGCCCTGAGACACATAAACACATTCTTTCACTTTCACTTAGACTTTAATGTCAGGAAAAACACTACGGTTCAATGTGCTCCACTAGCCCCGCCCTTCTGTGCCTTAGCCCCGCCCCTTCTGTTCCATAGCCCCACCCCTTCTGTCCCTTGATGCTACCGTCACTCGATGCTACCGTCACTCGATGCTACCGTCACTCGATGCTACCGTCACTCGATGCTACCGTCACTCGATGCTACCGTCACTCGATGCTACCGTCACTCGATGCTACCGTCACTCGATGCTACCGTCACTCGATGCTACCGTTACTCGATGCTATTGTCACTCGATGCTACCGTCACTCGATGCTACCGTCACTCGATGCAACCGTCACTCGATGCTACCGTCACTCGATGCTACCGTCACTCGATGCTACCGTCACTTGATGCTACCGTTACTCGATGCTATCGTCACTCGATGCTACCGTCACTCGATGCTACCGTCACTTGATGCTACCGTCACTTGATGCTATCGTCACTTGATGCTACTGTCACTTGATGCTACCGTCACTTGAGCTACCGTCACTCGATGCTACCGTCACTTGATGCTACTGTCACTTGATGCTACCGTCACTTGATGCTACCGTCACTTGAGCTACCGTCACTTGAGCTACCGTCACTTGATGCTACCGTCACTTGATGCTAGGAGTGTTACCTTTGGATACTTGTGTCTGTACGGCTCCAGCAGAGCCTCGGCCTCCTCCAGGTTCCCCTCCCCTGTACCTGAAGCAAGAGAGAGGTAAGAGAGAGACCATAGAGAGAACAGAGAGAGAGAGAGAGACCATAGAGAGAACAGAGAGAGAGAGAGAGACCATAGAGAGACCAGAGAGAGAGAGAGAGACCATAGAGAGACCAGAGAGAGAGAGAGAGACCATAGAGAGACCATAGAGAGACCAGAGAGAGACCAGAGAGAGAGAGACCAGAGAGAGATCAGAGAGCGAGACCAGAGAGAGACCAGAGAGAGACCAGAGAGAGACCAGCGAGAGACCAGAGAGAGAGAGCAGAGGGAGGGTGTGTGCTGGTACCCAGGATGAGGGAGACGTAGGTGTTGTAGAAGAGCAGAGTGAGGGAGCAGAGGATGGAGCGCAGGCTGTGGTTGGAGGCTCCTTCTCTGAGCTGAGACAAACCAAAACTCTGCAACAAACAGGAAAGAGTTCACAGCATCACGTCTGACCAGAGACCAGAGAGAGGCCAGAGAGACGAGAGAGACACCAGAGAGAGACCAGAGAGAGACCAGAGAGAGACGAGAGAGACACCAGAGAGAGACCAGAGAGAGACCAGAGAGAGACGAGAGAGAGACGAGAGAGACACCAGAGAGAGACCAGAGAGACACCAGAGAGAGACCAGAGAGAGGCCAGAGAGAGACCAGAGAGAGACCAGAGAGAGACCAGAGAGAGACCAGAGAGAGACCAGAGAGAGACCAGAGAGAGGCCAGAGAGAGACGAGAGAGACACCAGAGAGAGACCAGAGAGAGGCCAGAGAGAGACGAGAGAGACACCAGAGAGAGACCAGAGAGAGACCAGAGAGAGGCCAGAGAGAGACCAGAGAGAGACCAGAGAGAGACCAGAGAGAGGCCAGAGAGAGACCAGAGAGAGACCAGAGAGAGGCCAGAGAGAGACGAGAGAGACACCAGAGAGAGACCAGAGAGAGACCAGAGAGAGGCCAGAGAGAGACCAGAGAGAGACCAGAGAGAGACCAGAGAGAGACCAGAGAGAGGCCAGAGAGAGACCAGAGAGAGACCAGAGAGAGACGAGAGAGACACCAGAGAGAGACCAGAGAGAGGCCAGAGAGAGACCAGAGAGAGACCAGAGAGAGACCAGAGAGAGGCCAGAGAGAGACCAGAGAGAGACCAGAGAGAGACCAGAGAGAGACCAGAGAGAGACCAGAGAGAGACCAGAGAGAGACCAGAGAGAGACCAGAGAGAGACCAGAGAGAGCCCAGAGAGAGGCCAGAGAGAGACGAGAGAGACACCAGAGAGAGACCAGAGAGAGGCCAGAGAGAGACCAGAGAGAGACCAGAGAGAGACCAGAGAGAGACCAGAGAGAGACCAGAGAGAGACCAGAGAGAGACCAGAGAGAGACCAGAGAGAGGCCAGAGAGAGACCAGAGAGAGACCAGAGAGAGGCCAGAGAGAGACGAGAGAGACACCAGAGAGAGACCAGAGAGAGACGAGAGAGAGGCCAGAGAGAGACCAGAGAGAGACCAGAGAGAGACCAGAGAGAGACCAGAGAGAGACGAGAGAGAGACCAGAGAGAGACCAGAGAGAGGCCCAGAGAGAGACCAGAGAGAGACCAGAGAGAGACCAGAGAGAGACCAGAGAGAGACCAGAGAGAGACCAGAGAGAGACCAGAGAGAGACCAGAGAGAGACCAGAGAGAGACCAGAGAGAGACCAGAGAGAGACCAGAGAGAGACCAGAGAGAGACCAGAGAGAGAGACCAGAGAGAGGCCAGAGAGAGACCAGAGAGAGGCCAGAGAGAGACCAGAGAGAGAGACCAGAAGGACACCAGAGAGAGACCAGAGAGAGGCCAGAGAGAGGCCAGAGAGAGACCAGAGAGAGAGACCAGAGAGAGACCAGAGAGACACCAGAGAGAGACCAGAGAGAGGCCAGAGAGAGACGAGAGAGACACCAGAGAGAGACCAGAGAGAGGCCAGAGAGAGACGAGAGAGACACCAGAGAGAGACCAGAGAGAGACGAGAGAGAGGCCAGAGAGAGACCAGAGAGAGACCAGAGAGACACCAGAGAGAGACCAGAGAGAGACGAGAGAGAGACCAGAGAGAGGCCAGAGAGAGACCAGAGAGAGGCCAGAGAGAGACCAGAGAGAGACCAGAGAGAGGCGAGAGAGAGACCAGAGAGAGAGACCAGAGAGAGAGCAGAGAGACCAGACTAGACCTGGTTCAGACCGGATCTTCAAAACTGACCCTGTTTCCAGAGAAACCAATGAACTCGAGCAGACGAAGAATCCTCTGAGGCAGAAGAGAGAGCATCTGGACCAGAACACATACCATCAGAGATACCATCAGAGACACCATCAGTGACACCATCACAGATACCATCAGAGAAACCATCAGAGAAACCATCAGAGACACCATCAGAGACACCATCAGTAACAGTTTGACACTGACCAGGTTGAAGGAGCCCACGCCCAGTTTGACTCCGCCCTCAAACTGCCTGAAGGCGTTTGATTGGCCGTCCACTTCCTGATTGGCATTCAACACGTTCTGACAATCTCTGTAAAAAATAAAGAATATGTTTTTGTTATCATGTAATATTATTGGAACAAAACCAGAAAGACACCAGAGAGAGACCAGCAAGAGATCAGCGAGAGACCAGAGAGAGAGACAAGAGAGAGACCAGAGAGACAGAGAGAGACCAGAGAGACACCAGAGAGAGACCAGAGAGACAGAGAGACACCAGAGAGAGACCAGAGAGAGACCAGAGAGAGACCAGAGAGAGAGACACCAGAGAGAGAGACACCAGAGAGAGACCAGAGAGAGACCAGAGAGAGAGACACCAGAGAGAGAGACACCAGAGAGAGACCAGAGAGAGACCAGAGAGAGAGACACCAGAGAGACCAGAGAGAGAGACACCAGAGAGAGACCAGAGAGAGACCAGAGAGACACCAGAGAGAGAGACACCAGAGAGAGAGACCAGAGAGCGAGAGACCAGAGAGAGACCAGAGAGACACCAGAGAGACAGACCAGAGAGACAGACCAGAGAGAGAGAGACCAGAGAGAGACCAGTGAGAGACCAGAGAGAGACCAGTAAGAGAGACCAGATGGATACTAACAGATGTTAAAAGCCTCTTTAACAATGATATTGAAACTGTTTTTGTTGACAATTGTTTCTTGTACTGTTTTATTCCAGTCTGATACACACTGGGGAGGAGGTTTTTGCTCAGTGTGAATGAGGCTTTAGATTCTCACTGTTTCCACGGCAACACTCACTTGTAGATCTGGTAGCTGGTTCGGATCTTGATGCCTCCTTTGATGAAGCTGATCATGTTTTCATCCTGGAATAAAAAATAAAGTCAAATCAGAGATTAGAGAAGACTGAGGCAGAGACTGAAGCAGAGACTGAGGCAGAGACTGAAGCAGAGACTGAAGCAGAGACTGAGGCAGAGACTGAGGCAGAGACTGAAGCAGAGACTGAGGCAGAGACTGAGGCAGAGACTGAAGCAGAGACTGAAGCAGAGACTGAGGCAGAGACTGAAGCAGAGACTGAAGCAGAGACTGAGGCAGAGACTGAGGCAGAGACTGAAGCAGAGACTGAGGCAGAGACTGAGGCAGAGACTGAGGCAGAGACTGAGGCAGAGACTGAGGCAGAGACTGAAGCAGAGACTGAAGCAGAGACTGAGGCAGAGACTGAAGCAGAGACTGAAGCAGAGACTGAAGCAGAGACTGAGGCAGAGACTGAGGCAGAGACTGAAGCAGAGACTGAGGCAGAGACTGAGGCAGAGACTGAAGCAGAGACTGAGGCAGAGACTGAGGCAGAGACTGAGGCAGAGACTGAGGCAGAGACTGAAGCAGAGACTGAGGCAGAGACTGAGGCAGAGACTGAAGCAGAGACTGAGGCAGAGACTGAGGCAGAGACTGAGGCAGAGACTGAGGCAGAGACTGAGGCAGAGACTGAGGCAGAGACTGAGGCAGAGACTGAAGCAGAGACTGAGGCAGAGACTGAGGCAGAGACTGAGGCAGAGACTGAGGCAGAGACTGAAGCAGAGACTGAGGCAGAGACTGAGGCAGAGACTGAGGCAGAGACTGAGGCAGAGACTGAGGCAGAGACTGAAGCAGAGACTGAGGCAGAGACTGAGGCAGAGACTGAGGCAGAGACTGAGGCAGAGACTGAGGCAGAGACTGAGGCAGAGACTGAGGCAGAGACTGAGGCAGAGACTGAGGCAGAGACTGAGGCAGAGACTGAGGCAGAGACTGAGGCAGAGACTGAGGCAGAGACTGAAGCAGAGACTGAGGCAGAGACTGAAGCAGAGACTGAAGCAGAGACTGAGGCAGAGACTGAGGCAGAGACTGAGGCAGAGACTGAAGCAGAGACTGAAGCAGAGACTGAGGCAGAGACTGAGGCAGAGACTGAGGCAGAGACTGATGGTGCGTTCAGACCAAACGCGATTTCTGCGGCCAAAGCGGCGGGTCTACATTGACACAACATGGGGGACGCGCGCCAAGGAGCGGCGAGAGATCACGCGGCGCGATTCGCGCGGCCAGAGCGGCGCGAATTCGAGCGTTTCGCGCGATTCGCGCGGCGTGTTTTGAGATGTCAAGCGTTTTGACGCGCGTTTCGCGCGATTCGTGCCTCCAACGCGGCCGCCGCTAGAGTTGAACAATGTTGAACTTTTTGGGAGAATTCGCGTGTGCCGACCAATCAGGAGCTTTCTCCTCCAGTGACGTAGTGACGCATTTCACTACCGGAAAAACACTAGTAGATGACAGCTATGGAGGACACGTCAATTGCTCAGGTCGGTGCTCATTCTGAGCTATATAACACTGCGGACATCAGCTACCGGGACCGAAATAAAAAGGAGCTTGCTTGGAGGAGGGTTAGCGAGGTGGTTGGTGTCTCGGGTAAGTTATTTTAACTTTTCAATGTTGTAAATATTTCCCCGCGAAAAAAACTACTACTTTCCTGCTTACGAGTTGATGTGTTTATTCAGTGGAAGTTTGCAAAAAGCGGTGGAAGAACCTGAGGGACACATATGCTAAGGAGAGCAGGAAGGAGAAGGAGAAGGTGAAGAAGAGTGGTGCAGAAGCAGGGAAAGGCCAGACGTGGAAGTACCTTGTGGTCATGTCCTTCCTCAAGCCCTACATCACTCCCCGTGACAGCTCCGGGAACATGCCAAGGCGAAGGGCCGAGGAGGAGCAGACCACAGGGTACAACCACCCAGAAGAAGAGCCAGAGGAAGCAGCAGCAGCAGGGCTGTCAGGTGCTGAAGGTCGGTGTCATGCAGCAAACAGAGACCTCCAACAGTTGGAAAAAATACATTTCTTTCCTTTCTATTACCCACATTTTGCTGACTTTTACATTTATATTGCTTTCTGTGTATGCATTTCTTTTAATGCTTTCTTAACATCATGGCCAGGTGAAAATAGGCATTGGCTATTTTCAAACCAGGATAGATCTTGATCATGTGTTGTGTTAAATTTCACTTTTCCCTTTTATATGAACAAATCATTTAAATGTACATAATAATGTACATTATTATGTACATATAAATGTCATAAGCGCAATGTACACATGATATGAAATAATTGTATTTCTTGTTTTCTTCTGGCACAGACACTGCCACCACCACACAAGGTGAGACATCTTGGCCTGAGCTGCCTGCTGCTGCTGCTGCTGCTGCTGCTGCTGCTTCCTCAGCCGGTTCTTCTTCTGTGAGGGCTGGACCTTCCCCTGCTTCTGCACCTACAGGTGTGGCTTTTTTTAATCATTGTTTTATTTTTATTCTTTTTACAGGACTGTTTATATAAACAAAATGTTACTGCATAATATGCCAAAATTACCCAAGGGCTGTTACATCAGTGTAGACGACAAATTTACAGAGAAACACCAAGATGTCAAGGCACTACAGGTGGAAAGAAGCTTTGGTCTGATACAACACATCTTCCCTCTTTCTTCGATAAAAACATACTACTGAAATACCTTATGCTATAAAAGTACTGAACAAATACATGCAATGGTTGCCACAAGATGGCAGCTATCCTGTTTAATGCAGACAATAGAGTATTACTTTTTTACAGCCAATTTCAAATTTCATTGCGAAATACACTTCAGAGATATTAGTTTGTAACTGTCGAAATGTGTGCTTGTGTGAGTAATTTCATTGATAACTGCAATGTTCAAGTTAATTGTAACAAACACACAACTTAAAAGTGTTTTACATGTGTTTAACTATGTCTACACACTCTGGCTTTAATACAGATATTATTTGCTCTCTTCATTTTGCTTTTTTGAAATACATGTTCCACTTTTTAACACTGTGATTGCCCTGTGTTCTTTGTTGGCGGCTCTACGGACGTGGGCCTCTTCCGAGCCCTCTTCCTTGGTGGGCCTTCAGAGTGGGAGCGGGAGCTGCTGGAGACTCTACGGACCAAAGCAGCCGCACCGCCCGACTACTCAGAAGACCATCAGTTCCTGCTCTCTCTCTTTCCTCTCCTGCAAAGGGTGGCACCAGAGTCAAAAGAATTTGTGAAATTCAAAATGTACCAACTTTTATATGAAAGCAGCACCGTTCTGCTTAATTTGGAACCATTGGCCAGAACAGACAGTTTTTTGACCTAAGGTGACACCTTTTGCAGGGGAGGAAACAGACATGTGTCCCTTTCCTCTTCCACCGCACCTCCTCCAAGCAAGCTCCTTTTCATTTGTTTATATGTACATTTCATTTATTTTTCATTGTTTGTTCCTTTTTTTATAAAGAAAATATTTTTCAAACCTCATGTGTTCTACTTCAAGCCAACCATTACTACCTTTCATATAATATTGACAGAAAATATTTGTACATTTACTTTTATAAGAGCTGACTGGGTTTTATAGAAGATGGAATAACGAACACTTAAAGAGCGATACAGTAGTTGACAGTATTTTTTATTCATTTCACCTTTTACTGTTTTAACAACCTTGTAATTATGGAAAAGCTTGAATGTGCATATGATTAACCTGAAGTTGGAGTGGAGTCGCAGTGGAGTCTGGCAGTCATTACCTAGAAACAGAAGGTATACAGGTGAATAGAATAGTGCAAATCAATATGGGTTTGGACTATGGCCAGATGTGGGTCAGTCTTGTGGTGGACATGACTACTCTGTGGGCTGCCACGGCAGTGCTCCCTCCTCACTGAAGTGGGCCATGAACACTTTCCTTATGTCCACTGCTGGCTTCCAGGCGGCCATCCGCTGCACGCCTGGAAGTGGTTCTTCACCGACAGCAGCTCCCCTCGGTGCAGGAACCTGCCCATCTCCAGCCATCCTCATGGCTGGAGATGGGCAGGGAGCATTAAATTGCAGCGCAGTGAAAAGGCCTCATCTGCCACGAACACATGGGGCTGGGGTCCTCTGTGGTCAGCTCCAGGTATGCACTGGTCAGGAGGCAGGTCGAGTGTGCCCTCGCGCAGAGCCTCACCAAAGGCAGAGTTGGCCATGATGCCTCCATCGCTGGATCTGCCGTACCCTCCCACATCAATCACCCTGAACCTGTACTGGGCATCCACTACAGCCAGGAGCACAAGGGAATGGTGCCCCTTGTAATTAAAAAAACATGGACCCAGAGTTGGGGGGTGCCTTCACAGCCACATGCTTCCCATCAATGGCCCCACGGCACAGAGGGAAGTTCCATCGGACCTCCACTCCTCTGCTCCAGGCACAGCCATGAACTCCTCCACGAGGCAGTCCCAGATGGCTGCCACCACATCTGGGATGAGCATGGAGACGGTGGATATGCCCGCTCTGAAGCTCCCCGCAATGGTCCTGTAGGAGTCCCCAGTGGCAAGAAACCTGCAATTACAAAATGATATGAACATATTTATCACAATTACATTCATAACAATCACGTGACAAAACTTGTGTAGCATAAAATACGTTAAACTAGTAGACAGTAAACATCATAGACAGTAATCATAGACACCATATTGTTGCATAATACTGTTTTCTGAGCTATTACATTGTGGATTGTGATTGAAAAATGACAAACTTTGTAAGTATTTAGGAATTCCGAATGGGGTAAAAAACACTAACCGCAGACAGATGGACAGGCGCTCTTCAGCTGGAATAGAGCGCCTGTAGTTGGTGTCCTGGTAGGTGATCCTTGCGCCAATGCGGGTCAGTAGGTCGTCAAACTGGGCCAGGGAGAGACGAAAGTACCGCTGAAAGCGACCCTCATCCGAGCGCAGCTCCCGGAGCAAATGGTGAAACTCACCAAACTCCAACCGTCTACGGACTATCTGGTGAATCCAGACACGTCGTCGATTCGCCCTTTGACGACGTGTCTGGCTTTATTTATTAGATAGAGCCAAGCAACTCCTTCGCTGACATCCATTTTGGGAAGCTACAGGCAAAAGAGACAAGCCCCGCCCCTAGACGCTCTCAACGCTCTGTGACAGCGGCTGCCCTCTAGTGTCCTGGCCGCGCGGCCAAGTTTCTCTGTGACAGCGGCTGCCACAATTTGTCACAAGCGGCTCAAGCCGCGCGATATACGCGATTTGGCCGCAGAAATCGCGTTTGGTCTGAACGCACCATGAGGCAGAGACTGAGGCAGAGACTGAGGCAGAGACTGAAGCAGAGACTGAGGCAGAGACTGAGGCAGAGACTGAGGCAGAGACTGAGGCAGAGACTGAAGCAGAGACTGAAGCAGAGACTGAAGCAGAGACTGAGGCAGAGACTGAGGCAGAGACTGAAGCAGAGACTGAGGCAGAGACTGAGGCAGAGACTGAAGCAGAGACTGAGGCAGAGACTGAGGCAGAGACTGAGGCAGAGACTGAGGCAGAGACTGAAGCAGAGACTGAAGCAGAGACTGAAGCAGAGACTGAGGCAGAGACTGAGGCAGAGACTGAAGCAGAGACTGAGGCAGAGACTGAGGCAGAGACTGAGGCAGAGAGTGAGGCAGAGACTGAGGCAGAGACTGAGGCAGAGACTGAAGCAGAGACTGAAGCAGAGACTGAAAGAGACTGAAAGAGACTGAAGCAGAGACTGAGGCAGAGACTGAGGCAGAGACTGAAGCAGAGACTGAAGCAGAGACTGAAAGAGACTGAAGCAGAGACTGAAGCAGAGACTGAAGCAGAGACTGAGGCAGAGACTGAAGCAGAGACTGAGGCAGAGACTGAAGCAGAGACTGAAGCAGAGACTGAAGCAGAGACTGAAGCAGAGACTGAAGCAGAGACTGAGGCAGAGACTGAAGCAGAGACTGAGGCAGAGACTGAAGCAGAGACTGAAGCAGAGACTGAAGCAGAGACTGAGGCAGAGACTGAGGCAGAGACTGAGGCAGAGACTGAGGCAGAGACTGAAGCAGAGACTGAGGCAGAGACTGAAGCAGAGACTGAAGCAGAGACTGAAGCAGAGACTGAAGCAGAGACTGAAGCAGAGACTGAGGCAGAGACTGAAGCAGAGACTGAGGCAGAGACTGAAGCAGAGACTGAAGCAGACTGAAGCAGAGACTGAAGCAGACTGAGGCAGAGACTGAGGCAGAGACTGAGGCAGAGACTGAGGCAGAGACTGAGGCAGAGACTGAAGCAGAGACTGAAGCAGAGACTGAGGCAGAGACTGAGGCAGAGACTGAGGCAGAGACTGAGGCAGAGACTGAAGCAGAGACTGAGGCAGAGACTGAGGCAGAGACTGAAGCAGAGACTGAGGCAGAGACTGAAGCAGAGACTGAGGCAGAGACTGAGGCAGAGACTGAGGCAGAGACTGAGGCAGAGACTGAGGCAGAGACTGAGGCAGAGACTGAGGCAGAGACTGAGGCAGAGACTGAAGCAGAGACTGAAGCAGAGACTGAGGCAGAGACTGAGGCAGAGACTGAGGCAGAGACTGAAGCAGAGACTGAGGCAGAGACTGAGGCAGAGACTGAGGCAGAGACTGAGGCAGAGACTGAGGCAGAGACTGAGGCAGAGACTGAAGCAGAGACTGAAGCAGAGACTGAGGCAGAGACTGAGGCAGAGACTGAGGCAGAGACTGAGGCAGAGACTGAGGCAGAGACTGAAGCAGAGACTGAAGCAGAGACTGAGGCAGAGACTGAGGCAGAGACTGAGGCAGAGACTGAGGCAGAGACTGAAGCAGAGACTGAAGCAGAGACTGAAAGAGACTGAAGCAGAGACTGAGGCAGAGACTGAGGCAGAGACTGAAGCAGAGACTGAAGCAGAGACTGAAAGAGACTGAAGCAGAGACTGAAGCAGAGACTGAGGCAGAGACTGAAGCAGAGACTGAGGCAGAGACTGAAGCAGAGACTGAAGCAGAGACTGAAGCAGAGACTGAAGCAGAGACTGAAGCAGAGACTGAAGCAGAGACTGAAGCAGAGACTGAAGCAGAGACTGAGGCAGAGACTGAAGCAGAGACTGAAGCAGAGACTGAAGCAGAGACTGAAGCAGAGACTGAAGCAGAGACTGAGGCAGAGACTGAAGCAGAGACTGAGGCAGAGACTGAAGCAGAGACTGAAGCAGACTGAAGCAGAGACTGAAGCAGACTGAAGCAGAGACTGAGGCAGAGACTGAGGCAGAGACTGAGGCAGAGACTGAGGCAGAGACTGAGGCAGAGACTGAGGCAGAGACTGAAGCAGAGACTGAGGCAGAGACTGAGGCAGAGACTGAGGCAGAGACTGAGGCAGAGACTGAGGCAGAGACTGAGGCAGAGACTGAGGCAGAGACTGAGGCAGAGACTGAAGCAGAGACTGAAGCAGAGACTGAGGCAGAGACTGAAGCAGAGACTGAAGCAGAGACTGAAGCAGAGACTGAAGCAGAGACTGAGGCAGAGACTGAGGCAGAGACTGAAGCAGAGACTGAAGCAGAGACTGAAGCAGAGACTGAAGCAGAGACTGAAGCAGAGACTGAAGCAGAGACTGAGGCAGAGACTGAGGCAGAGACTGAGGCAGAGACTGAAGCAGAGACTGAAGCAGAGACTGAAGCAGAGACTGAAGCAGAGACTGGATGCCCTCCCACTAACCCGGTACCTGCACAAACGTCAGCGTGGCCTTCTGCAGCAGACACTCGGCGTAACACAGCTCTGCATGCATCTCCTCTGAGAACACAGACACTGGTCAGACTGGCTGTCAATCAAGCCTCAGGGGGCGGGACTTCCTCTTACCTTCCTGCATAGTGGACTGTTTGTTCAGCAGAGAGCCCACCATCGAGTTTCTTCTTCTGAATCTGGGACAAGCATTTAAAATTCTATATTAGTTTTAAAGTCAGTGTGAGGAGAATGAACCAGGACAAACCAGGACTGAACCAGGACCGAACCAGGACTGAATCAGGACTGAACCGGGACTGAACCGGGACTGATCCGGGACTGAACTAGGACTAAAGAAAGCACATTGTAAACAGAAGCTTGAGGCTGAAAGGATTTTTCAAAAAAATATTCTAAAAGCCGAATGTTTCTAGTCTCCTCGGTCTACAGCCTCAGTCCTGGATCTACAACCTCAGTCCTGGGTCTACAGCCTCAGTCCTGGATCTACAACCTCAGTCCTGGGTCTACAGCCTCAGTCCTGGGTCTACAGCCTCAGTCCTGGGTCTACAGCCTCAGTCCTGGGTCTACAGCCTCAGTCCTGGATCTACAGCCTCAGTCCTGGATCTACAGCCTCAGTCCTGGATCTACAGCCTCAGTCCTGGGTCTACAGCCTCAGTCCTGGGTCTACAGCCTCAGTACTGGGTCTGCAGTCTCAGTCCTGGATCTATAATTCTTGGGTTTCATTAAACTGGCCAGCAGGGGGCGCATGAGCAGAGGACAAAAGGCTCTCCTCCTGTGCGGTGTACGGTTGTTGGAACAGTCTTAATCGGGGACACTCAATTCTAAGGGAGGACTAACAAATATTTCTCAAAAGAGTCTTGATTTTGGGCATTTTTAGAAATAAAACCATTAGGATGGCCTGCAGGGGGCGCTTATCTGGGAAAGCCTTGATCCCCCTCGCCCGCCTCATTCCAGTGATGTTTTCAAAGTGTCCTCCTTTATATGAGACACAGTTGGAACATGAACAAACTCTGGTCTTTCTCTATTTGTGCGGTTGCTACAAACGTACACCGCACAAAAAGATGCTTCTTCTTCTACTATATCTCTGTGTATAAACCACTTCTTCTTCTACTATATCTCTGTGTACAAACCACTTCTTCTACTATATCTCCGTGTACAAACCACTTCTTCTTCTACTATATCTCTGTGTATAAACCACTTCTTCTTCTACTATATCTCCGTGTATAAACCACTTCTTCTTCTACTATATCTCTGTGTATAAACCACTTCTTCTTCTACTATATCTCTGTGTATAAACCTCTTCTTCTTCTGCTATATCTCCGTGTATAAACCGCTTCTTCTTCTACTATATCTCTGTGTATAAACCGCTTCTTCTTCTACTATATCTCCGTGTATAAACCGCTTCTTCTTCTACTATATCTCTGTGTACAAACCACTTCTTCTTCTACTATATCTCTGTGTACAAACCACTTCTTCTTCTACTATATCTCCGTGTATAAACCACTTCTTCTTCTACTATATCTCTGTGTATAAACCACTTCTTCTTCTACTATATCTCCGTGTATAAACCTCTTCTTCTTCTACTATATCTCCGTGTATAAACCACTTCTTCTTCTGCTATATCTCCGTGTATAAACCACTTCTTCTTCTACTATATCTCTGTGTACAAACCACTTCTTCTTCTACTATATCTCTGTGTACAAACCACTTCTTCTTCTACTATATCTCTGTGTACAAACCACTTCTTCTTCTACTATATCTCCGTGTACAAACCACTTCTTCTACTATATCTCTGTGTACAAACCACTTCTTCTTCTACTATATCTCCGTGTATAAACCACTTCTTCTTCTACTATATCCGTGTATAAACCACTTCTTCTTCTACTATATCTCCGTGTATAAACCGCTTCTTCTTCTACTATATCTCTGTGTATAAACCGCTTCTTCTTCTACTATATCTCTGTGTATAAACCGCTTCTTCTTCTACTATATCTCTGTGTATAAACCGCTTCTTCTTCTACTATATCTCTGTGTATAAACCACTTCTTCTTCTACTATATCTCTGTGTATAAACCGCTTCTTCTTCTACTATATCTCTGTGTATAAACCGCTTCTTCTTCTACTATATCTCTGTGTATAAACCACTTCTTCTTCTACTATATCTCTGTGTATAAACCGCTTCTTCTTCTACTATATCTCCGTGTATAAACCACTTCTTCTTCTACTATATCTTTGTGTATAAACCCGGCAGACTGCAGCGCCAGGATTCGTCACGTCCTGTTCTACGTTTGTTATTCGCGCCACTGCCCTGACGACATATGAAACCCAAGAATAGCCGTGTCACCGTTGGCAGGTGGTCAGGGCCTCCTTGATGGTGCTCATGGCCGTCTGGATGTCTCTCTGGTCAAAGGTCATTGTGGCCTGCATCACCAGGATACTGCTGTAGCCCAGAGCGTGGTACATGCTGTTCTTCCACCTGCAACACACCAACACACATCTGATTATAGAGACCAGAGGGAGACCAGAGAGAGACCAGAGAGAGACCAGAGAGAGACCAGAGAGAGACCAGAGAGAGACCAGAGAGAGACCAGAGAGAGACCAGAGAGAGACCAGAGAGAGACCAGAGAGAGACCAGAGGGAGACCAGAGAGAGACCAGAGAGAGACCAGAGAGAGACCAGAGAGAGACCAGAGAGAGACCAGAGAGTGACCAGAGAGAGAGACCAGAGAGAGACCAGAGAGAGAGACCAGAGAGAGACCAGAGAGAGAGACCAGAGAGAGACCAGAGAGAGACCAGAGGGACACCAGAGAGAGACCAGAGAGAGACCAGAGAGAGACCAGAGGGACACCAGAGAGTGACCAGAGAGAGAGACCAGAGAGAGACCAGAGAGAGACCAGAGGGAGACCAGAGAGAGAGACCAGAGAGAGACCAGAGAGAGACCAGAGAGAGACCAGAGAGAGAGACCAGAGAGAGAGACCAGAGAGTGACCAGAGAGAGAGACCAGAGAGAGACCAGAGAGAGACCAGAGAGAGACCAGAGAGAGTAGAGGGAGAGCCATCTTGTTGGCTAAACTAAAGTGTCTGTGATTATGTGCCAAGCTTCTGTCTGCTACCACCAGCACTGATACTACAGTGGTGTGTGGTCAGGTAAGGCCTGACCAAAAACAATAATACTTTGTCTCTAGATCCAGTGATTTGTGCTTTTGTTATTTTAACGTAACTTTGCCTTATTTCATTCATTTTCACCGTGAAATCGCACATTTTTGTCATATTCTTCTCATATTTGACAGAGCGCTGTGAGGCAGCCTCTTCTTGGAGACGTAAAACCTACAGCTCACAGAGAGAAACCCACAGCTCACAGAGAGAGAGACCTATAGCTCACAGAGAGAGAAACCCACAGCTCACAGAGAGAGAAACCCACAGCTCACAGAGAGAGAAACCTACAGCTCACAGAGAGAGAAACCCACAGCTCACAGAGAGAAACCTACAGCTCACAGAGAGAAACCTACAGCTCACAGAGAGAGAAACCTACAGCTCACAGAGAGAGAAACCTACAGCTCACAGAGAGAGAAACCTACAGCTCACAGAGAGAAACCCACAGCTCACAGAGAGAGAAACCCACAGCTCACAGAGAGAGAAACCTACAGCTCACAGAGAGAGAAACCTACAGCTCACAGAGAGAAACCCACAGCTCACAGAGAGAGAAACCCACAGCTCACAGAGAGAGAAACCTACAGCTCACAGAGAGAGAAACCCACAGCTCACAGAGAGAGAAACCTACAGCTCACAGAGAGAGAAACCCACAGCTCACAGAGAGAGAAACCCACAGCTCACAGAGAGAGAAACCTACAGCTCACAGAGAGAGAAACCCACAGCTCACAGAGAGAGAGACCTATAGCTCACAGAGAGAAACCTACAGCTCACAGAGAGAGAAACCTACAGCTCACAGAGAGAGAAACCCACAGCTCACAGAGAGAGAGACCTACAGCTCACAGAGAGAAACCTACAGCTCACAGAGAGAGAGACCTATAGCTCACAGAGAGAGAAACCTACAGCTCACAGAGAGAGAAACCTACAGCTCACAGAGAGAGAAACCTACAGCTCACAGAGAGAGAAACCCACAGCTCACAGAGAGAGAGACCTACAGCTCACAGAGAGAAACCTACAGCTCACAGAGAGAGAAACCCACAGCTCACAGAGAGAGAAACCTACAGCTCACAGAGAGAGAAACCTACAGCTCACAGAGAGAGAAACCCACAGCTCACAGAGAGAGAAACCTACATAATGTCACTGAGTGAGGCCAGCCTCAGGGGGGCGCATGTGAGCCCAGAATTCGGCTGCATCCACTTCCCTCAGAAAGCCCCTTTCCTGTTCTTCTTCTGCTGAGGGCAGCAGAAGAACTCTGTCACCTCTAGTGTTGTGAAGCTTGCGCAAGTTCACCCTGGTAGACCTGGCCTGCTGCCCAGCTCCTCCAGGCCTGCTCTCATCCTCGGCTCATCGCACAGCAACACCCACTTCCAGTCAACCAATAACCGCCAGGCCAGCAAGTTAAAAGCCGGAGACGCCCAATTCCCGGCCTTCTCAAGCTTTGCATCCTCCGCCGCCCCACCTCCTCCTTCTACCATTTCGAGCGTGCTTGCCTGCTGCCTCTGCCGCCACCAGTGCCTAGGCCCTGGGGGGGGGGATTATGAGCGTGAGCAAGCGCCGCGCTCAACATCATCGCTCCGGGGCCTAGGGCGCCAAACATGCTTAATCAAATAAACTTCTAATTGCATTCCCCGTTGTGGGTCTCTCCAGGATGAATTGAATGTTCTGGATACCGTTGCCCCTGTGAAGGTTAAAATAGTGAAAAATAAGCAGAAGGCGCCGTGGGCTAAAGCAGACTCGGTCAGGGCACAAAAGAGAAAGTGCCGGAGGGCCGAGCGGAAGTGGCGCAAGTCCAACCTCCAGGTTGATTACGAGATCTTCAAAGATAAGTTGTGTGAGTTTAACCGGGTGCTACGTAGTACGAGAGAAAAGTATTTTTCTGAAATGATTGAAGACTGCAGCAACAATCTGCGTGTTCTGTTCTCAACAGTTAATAGATTAACAAACCCCCCTGTTCAGATGCCATTAGAGCTAACTTTCAAACGTAAATGCAATGAGTTTGCACATTTTTTCAATGACAAGGTTCAAGGCATCAAAAACGCCATTGTCTCCAATCCACAGATAACCATCCAACAGCCAGAAAGGCTCTCTGAGCTAACTCACTTTGCACCTGTAAATGATCAAACTGTCCAAGAGATAATCTCCAGTTTGAGCTCCTCCACATGCAGCCTGGATGTACTACCCACTAGATTTCTAAAGTCTGTTCTGAGCAGTCTGTTACCTTCACTCACACAGATAGTAAACATGTCCCTTCATTCTGGAATAATCCCAAAGGCCCTAAAAACTGCAGTCATCAAGCCCCTGCTAAAAAAAGAGCAGTCTGGATGCCACTGTACTTAACAACTATCGTCCCATCTCAAATCTGCCATTTATGGGGAAAGTCCTTGAAAAAGTTGTCTACCAACAGCTAAATAGATTTCTTATAATCAACAACTCATTTGATATGTTTCAGTCCGGCTTTAGACCCCACCACAGCACTGAGACTGCTCTCGTTAAGGTTACAAACGATATCCGGCTGAACACTGACGCAGGCAAAGTCTCAATCCTAATCCTGTTAGATCTAAGTGCTGCCTTTGACACCGTCGACCATGAGATCCTCTTACAGAGACTAGAGGACTGGGTTGGCGTCGCTGGCACCGCCCTAAGTTGGTTTAGGTCTTACCTTGAAGACAGGAAGTACTTTGTGGAGATTGGAAACTGTGTCTCAGATCATATGGCCCTGACCTGTGGAGTCCCACAGGGGTCGATCCTGGGACCTCTTCTGTTCAATCTCTACATGCTGCCGTTAGGTCAGTTAATACGCAGAAACAAAGTTTCCTATCATAACTATGCAGACGACACTCAGATCTATGTCTCACTGACTGCAGGAGAACATGGACCAGTGGACTCACTCCTTCACTGTATCCAACAGATCAGTGAGTGGATGCAAAACAACTTCCTTCAGCTAAACGCAGACAAAACTGAAATGATTGTCTTTGGTCCCCAGAAACAAAGAGAGAGCGTCATCTGTCACCTACAGTCTCTCTCCCTAAAACCTTCAAACAAGGTCAGAAATCTAGGGGTAATACTGGACTCAGACTTAAATTTTAATAGCCACATCAAATCAGTAACATCAGCAGCTTTTTACCATCTAAAAAACATTGCCAGGATCAAAAACATAGTGTCTAAAGCAGACCTGGAGATTCTTATCCATGCATTTGTCTCCAGTAGGTTAGACTACTGCAATGGCCTGCTCACAGGTCTGTCCAAACAGGCTGTAAAACAGCTGCAGTACATTCAAAATGCAGCAGCTCCAGTCCTGACTAGAACCAGGAAGTACGACCACATTAGTCCTGACTAGAACCAGGAAGTACGACCATATTAGTCCAGACTAGAACCAGGAAGTACGACCACATTAGTCCTGACTAGAACCAGGAAGTACGACCACATTAGTCCTGACTAGAACCAGGAAGTACGACCACATTAGTCCTGACTAGAACCGGGAAGTACGACCACATTAGTCCTGACTAGAACCAGGAAGTACGACCACATTAGTCCAGACTAGAACCAGGAAGTACAACCACATTAGTCCAGACTAGAACCAGGAAGTACAACCACATTAGTCCAGTCCTCAGGTCTCTGCACTGACTTCCTGTGGCTCAGAGAATAGACTTTAAAACAGCTCTGCTTGTTACAAGTCTCTCCATGGCCTCGCACCAAAATATATTAGTGACATGTTAGTCCCATATGAACCAGCCCGGACTCTGAGGAGCACAGGGACTGGACTCCTGCTGGGACTCTGAGGAGCACAGGGACTGGACTCCTGCTGGGACTCTGAGGAGCACAGGGACTGGACTCCTGCTGGGACTCTGAGGAGCACAGGGACTGGACTCCTGCTGGGACTCTGAGGGGCACAGGGACTGGACTCCTGCTGGGACTCTGAGGAGCACAGGGACTGGACTCCTGCTGGGACTCTGAGGGGCACAGGGACTGGACTCCTGCTGGGACTCTGAGCACAGGGACTGGACTCCTGTTAGTGCCCAGAGTCAGAACTAAACATGGGGAGGCTGCTTTTCAGATTCATGCTGCTAAAATCTGGAACAGTCTTCCTGAAGATGTGAGACAGGCCTCCTCTCTGACAATGTTTAAAACCAGGTTAAAGACAGTTCTGTTTAGCTGTGCTACAACTGAGGGATTTTATATTTTTATCTTTCTTTTTAATGTTCTGTGATTATTTATGATTTTAATGCTATCTTGTTCAGCACTTTGAGTTGCCTTGTGTATGAATTGTGCTATATAAATAAACTTGCCTTGCCAATAAGATAAGACCATAACACACTTTGAAATGTGCCTTTTCATACTTTTGCATTTTGTTTGAACAAACAATGCATGAAACATATTCTGCTGTAGACAAACTAACTGAATAATCCTCTGTAGGTCCTGTTGGTTTACTGTATATGATATATATGTATAATATATATATGTTCATCTGACTGGGCTGAAGTCAGTGCCTCACCAACAGTGATGGGAATGTTTCACAGTATTCCCATTACTGCTTTCAGTAACGAGTAATCTAACTAATTACTTTGACAGTAACTATAACGCCGTTATCATTTCCGACATCCCGTTACTGCGCGTTACTCAAGACGCACAATGAACTTTTTTTCCTTCATGATAGGATCCTGTTGTCGTGAGAGAAGGGAGGATGAGAAAACCTCTCAGATATTATTGGCTGATGTAAAACATATTTCCTTTACAATCTACATGTTTACAGTTGAGAGGATGGTCATAAAGTGTGTTTTTGAAACAAATGGGTCTTAATCGCGCTCAACCACGGCTTGTATCAGCGTGAGGCCTCAGAGGAGCTCATGTGAGCGCAGAAGGCTGCATACAATTCCATGGATAAGCTCCTTTCTCTTCCTGGTTTATCTGCTAAGGACAGCAACAGGTTTGGCTAACATACATATAACACATTTTAAGATCATTTAAAATGCAGTTGGTGTTTAGTGCTTACACAGAGACAGATGAAGAGTGAACAGGACTTCAGCAGAAAAACAGACTTTTCTAGATGGAAATATTGGCACTATTTAAACTCACTGAGGTTAAAGGTTAAAGGTTAAAGGTTAAAGGTCAACATGTGCACGTCGAGTGCACATTATGTTCTAGAACAAAACGAAAAAGTAACGCAATAGTTACTTTTACTGGTAACTAGTTACTTTTATAGTGGAGTAACTCCGTTGGTAACTCAGTTACTTTTTGGGAGAAGTAACTAGTAACTATAACTAATTACTTTTTCAAAGTAACGTGCCCAACACTGCTCACCAACCACACTACTACTACTACTACTACTACTACTACTACTACTACTACTGTACCATGGTCTGAGCAGGTCCAGGGCCTCAGAGAACTTGTTGTTGAGGACCAGGTTGAGGGCACACTGAGTCTCCTGGATGGCCGTGTGGAGGTCCATCTGACACGCCCTGCAAACACACAGAACCATAGTAACACATCACATCATGAACAAGCCCCGCCCTGTGTTTTTACTGATGAAAACGGTTCCCCAGCTTTAAATAGGTCTGTTTACAGAGAGTAGTGTGGGTAACAGCGCCCTCTGCTGGCCTCTGCCCACACTGCAGGAGTCAAAGTGAAAAATAGATTAACCTGAGTCGTAATCAATATCACACATGGCCCCGTTTCAGCCTCTGCTTCAGCCTCTGCTTCAGGCTCTGTGTGTGTGCGTGTGCGTGTGCGTGTGCGTGTGTGTGTGTGTGTGTGTGTGTGTGTTTCACTCACGCTGGGATCCGTTCGTAGGCATCCTCATAACAGTCCTACAAAGAAACAAACAAAGGTCAATGATTGAAGTGTGACATCACAAAGTGGTTTGAAGAGGACAGTCCTGGGTCTACAGCCTCAGTCCTGGGTCTACGGCCTCAGTCCTGGGTCTACAGCCTCAGTCCTGGGTCTACAGCCTCAGTCCTGGGTCTACAGCCTCAGTCCTGGGTCTACGGCCTCAGTCCTGGGTCTACAGCCTCAGTCCTGGGTCTACAGCCTCAGTCCTGGGTCTACGGCCTCAGTCCTGGGTCTATGGCCTCAGTCCGGGGTCTACAGCATCAGTCCTGGGTCTACGGCCTCAGTTCTGGGTCTACGGCCTCAGTCCTGGGTCTACGGCCTCAGTCCTGGGTCTACGGCCTCAGTCCTGGGTCTATGGCCTCAGTCCGGGGTCTACAGCATCAGTCCTGGGTCTACGGCCTCAGTCCGGGGTCTACAGCATCAGTCCTGGGTCTACGGCCTCAGTTCTGGGTCTACGGCCTCAGTCCTGGGTCTACGGCCTCAGTCCTGGGTCTACGGCCTCAGTCCTGGGTCTATGGCCTCAGTCCGGGGTCTACAGCATCAGTCCTGGGTCTACAGCCTCAGTCCGGGGTCTACAGCATCAGTCCTGGGTCTACGGCCTCAGTTCTGGGTCCACAGCCTCAGTCCTGGGTCTACAGCCTCAGTCCTGGATCCATAGCCTCAGTCCTGGGTCTACAGGCTCAGTCCTGGGTCTACTGCCTCAGTTCTGGGTCTTATATTAAACCAGAGCGAGTGTCGGTGAAGCAGAGTCACAGAGGAGCTAATAATAGAAGCAGAGTTATGTAAGAGGAGGGCAGCTGCAACCAGAGGGGAGACCAGGACGAGACTAGAGGAGAGACCTGCTTTAGTCCTGCTTTAGTTCTATTTTAGTCCTGCTTTAGTCCTGCTTTAGTCCTGCTTTAGACCTGCTTTAGACCTGCTTTAGTCCTGCTTTAGTCCTGCTTTAGACCTGCTTTAGTCCTGCTTTAGTCCTGCTTTAGACCTGCTTTAGACCTGCTTTAGACCTGCTTTAGACCTGCTTTAGACCTGCTATAGTCCTGTTTTAGTCCTGCTTTAGACCTGCTTTAGTCCTGCTTTAGACCTGCTTTAGTCCTGCTTTAGACCTGCTTTAGACCTGCTTTAGTCCTGCTTTAGTCCTGCTTTAGACCTGCTTTAGACCTGCTTTAGACCTGCTTTAGACCTGCTTTAGACCTGCTACAGTTTCTGCAACACTAATAAACTTCTTTGAGTCGATGGTGTACTTGCACTATTCCCACACAGTCATAAAAGTCACATTAAAACCATCTGTGACAGTGTTAGAGACCAGAGAGAGACCAGAGGGAGACCAGAGGGAGACCAGAGAGAGACCAGAGGGAGACGAGAGGGAGACCAGAGGGAGACCAGAGAGAGACCAGAGGGAGACGAGAGGGAGACCAGAGGGAGACCAGAGAGAGACCAGAGGGAGACGAGAGGGAGACCAGAGGGAGACCAGAGAGAGACCAGAGAGAGACCAGAGGGAGACGAGAGGGAGACCAGAAAGAGACCAGAGGGAGACGAGAGGGAGACCAGAGGGAGACCAGAGCGAGAGACCAGAGAGAGAGACCAGAGAGAGAGACCAGAGAGAGACCAGAGAGAGACCAGAGGGAGACGAGAGGGAGACCAGAGAGAGACCAGAGAGAGACCAGAGAGAGAGACCAGAGAGAGAGACCAGAGAGAGACCAGAGAGAGACCAGAGGGAGACCAGAGAGAGAGACCAGAGGGAGACCAGAGGGAGACCAGAGAGAGACCAGAGAGAGACCAGAGAGAGAGACCAGAGGGAGACTAGAGAGAGACCATAGGGAGACTGTCCCTGCATTGGCTCTTGAATGCAGTGGGACTAGTCTTTCTCAGAGGACGGGGCCGGACTGGACCAAAGGACTTCTGAGGGCGTGCGGAGGAAAGAGTTTGAAAAGTGAGCGTGAGGACAGAAGGGTCTCCCACAGAAGACAAGGGATGCCCCTTATCTGAAAAACATGGCACCTGTATTAAAGCTCGGGGACGGAACTTTCAGACCACAACAATAGAACTCTGTAATGCAATCTATGTCACTGGATCCTGGATATAAAACTGTTTCTATCACAAGAGTAGAGAGAGAAGAGACCAGAGAGACCAGAGAGACCAGAGAGACCAGAGAGAGACCAGAGAGAGACCGGAGAGAGAGACTAGAGAGAGACTAGAGAGAGACCAGAGAGAGACCAGAGAGAGACCAGAGAGAGACCAGAGAGAGACCAGAGAGAGACTAGAGAGAGACCAGAGAGACCAGAGAGACCAGAGAGAGAGACTAGAGAGAGACTAGAGAGAGACCAGAGAGACCAGAGAGAGACCAGAGAGAGACCAGAGAGACTAGAGAGAGACCAGAGAGACCAGAGAGAGACCAGAGAGACCAGAGAGAGACCAGAGAGACCAGAGCGAGAGACTAGAGAGAGACTAGAGAGAGACCAGGAGAGTACTAGAGAGAGACCAGAGAGAGACCAGAGAGAGACCAGAGAGAGACTAGAGAGAGACCAGAGAGAGACCAGAGAGAGACTAGAGAGAGACCAGAGAGACCAGAGAGAGACCAGAGAGAGACCAGAGAGAGACCAGAGAGAGACCAGAGAGACCAGAGAGACCAGAGAGAGACTAGAGAGAGAGACTAGAGAGAGACCAGAGAGAGACTAGAGAGAGACCAGAGAGAGACTAGAGAGAGACCAGAGAGACCAGAGAGACCAGAGAGAGAGACCAGAGAGAGACCAGAGAGAGACCAGAGAGACCAGAGAGACCAGAGAGAGACCAGAGAGAAAGAGATTAGAGAGAGACCAGAGAGAGAGACTAGAGAGAGAGCTGAGAGAGAGATTAGAGAGAGACCAGAGAGAGACCAGAAAGAGACCAGAGAGAGACCAGAGAGAGACTGAATGAGACTGAGAGGTGCCCGGGTGAGTCTGAGAGAGTCTGAGAGAAACAGAGTTTCTGGGTGAGTCTGGGTGAGTCTGGCGTTGCTGCTTCCTGTTTGCAGAACGTGTGGGTGAAAGAAGAGCGTTCGGTCACGTTTGCATTCCCCTCTGCCATACATTATTTACATGAGACACAGCTCTGCCCTAGACCTGCTTTAGACCTGCTTTAGACCTGCTTTAGACCTGCTTTAGACCTGCTTTAGACCTGCTTTAGACCTGCTTTAGACCTGCTTTAGACCTGCTTTAGACCTGCTTTAGACCTGCTTTAGACCTGCTTTAGACCTGCTTTAGACCTGCTTTAGACCTGCTTTAGACCTGCTTTAGTCCTGCTTTAGACCTGCTTTAGACCTGCTTTAGTCCTGCTTTAGACCTGCTTTAGACCTGCTTTAGTCCTGCTTTAGACCTGCTTTAGTCCTGCTTTAGTCCTGCTTTAGTCCTGCTTTAGTCCTGCTTTAGTCATGGTTCAGTCCTGGTTCAGACCTGGTCCACAGTCCTCTATTGTGTTGCAGTTTTCACCTTGTTATAGGAGTCTGCTGACTCTGGCTCAGACTAATCACATTAACATTCTCAGTCTCTGCCTCAGTCTCTGCTTCAGTCTCTGCTTCAGTCTCTGCCTCAGTCTCTGCCTCAGTCTCTGCCTCAGTCTCTGCCTCAGTCTCTGCCTCAGTCTCTGCCTCAGTCTCTGCTTCAGTCTCTGCTTCAGTCTCTGCCTCAGTCTCTGCCTCAGTCTCTGCCTCAGTCTCTGCCTCAGTCTCTGCCTCAGTCTCTGCCTCAGTCTCTGCCTCAGTCTCTGCCTCAGTCTCTGCCTCAGTCTCTGCCTCAGTCTCTGCCTCAGTCTCTGCTTCAGTCTCTGCTTCAGTCTCTGCTTCAGTCTCTGCTTCAGTCTCTGCTTCAGTCTCTGCCTCAGTCTCTGCCTCAGTCTCTGCCTCAGTCTCTGCTTCAGTCTCTGCTTCAGTCTCTGCCTCAGTCTCTGCTTCAGTCTCTGCCTCAGTCTCTGCTTCAGTCTCTGCTTCAGTCTCTGCCTCAGTCTCTGCTTCAGTCTCTGCTTCAGTCTCTGCTTCAGTCTCCTGCCTCAGTCTCTGCCTCAGTCTCTGCCTCAGTCTCTGCCTCAGTGTCTGCCTCAGTCTCTGCCTCAGTCTCTGCCTCAGTCTCTGCCTCAGTCTCTGCCTCAGTCTCTGCTTCAGTCTCTGCTTCAGTCTCTGCCTCAGTCTCTGCCTCAGTCTCTGCCTCAGTCTCTGCCTCAGTCTCTGCCTCAGTCTCTGCCTCAGTCTCTGCCTCAGTCTCTGCTCTGCTCAGTCTCTGCCTCAGTCTCTGCCTCAGTCTCTGCCTCAGTCTCTGCTCTCTGCCTCAGTCTCTGCCTCAGTCTCTGCCTCAGTCTCTGCTTCAGTCTCTGCTTCAGTCTCTGCCTCAGTCTCTGCCTCAGTCTCTGCTTCAGTCTCTGCTTCAGTCTCTGCCTCAGTCTCTGCTTCAGTCTCTGCCTCAGTCTCTGCCTCAGTCTCTGCCTCAGTCTCTGCTTCAGTCTCTGCCTCAGTCTCTGCCTCAGTGTCTGCCTCAGTCTCTGCTTCAGTCTCTGCCTCAGTCTCTGCCTCAGTCTCTGCCTCAGCCTCTGCTTCAGTCTCTGCTTCAGTCTCTGCTTCAGTCTCTGCCTCAGTCTCTGCCTCAGTCTCTGCCTCAGTCTCTGCCTCAGTCTCTGCCTCAGTCTCTGCCTCAGTCTCTGCTTCAGTCTCTGCTTCAGTCTCTGCCTCAGTCTCTGCTTCAGTCTCTGCTTCAGTCTCTGCTTCAGTCTCTGCCTTAGTCTCTGCTTCAGTCTCTGCTTCAGTCTCTGCCTCAGTCTCTGCTTCAGTCTCTGCCTCAGTCTCTGCCTCAGTCTCTGCCTCAGTCTCTGCTTCAGTCTCTGCCTCAGTCTCTGCCTCAGTCTCTGCTTCAGTCTCTGCTTCAGTCTCTGCCTCAGTCTCTGCTTCAGTCTCTGCTTCAGTCTCTGCTTCAGTCTCTGCCTCAGTCTCTGCTTCAGTCTCTGCTTCAGTCTCTGCCTCAGTCTCTGCCTCAGTCTCTGCCTCAGTCTCTGCCTCAGTCTCTGCCTCAGTCTCTGCCTCAGTCTCTGCCTCAGTCTCTGCTTCAGTCTCTGCCTCAGTCTCTGCTTCAGTCTCTGCCTCAGTCTCTGCCTCAGTCTCTGCCTCAGTCTCTGCCTCAGTCTCTGCTTCAGTCTCTGCCTCAGTCTCTGCCTCAGTCTCTGCTTCAGTCTCTGCTTCAGTCTCTGTCTCAGTCTCTGCCTCAGTCTCTGCCTCAGTCTCTGCCTCAGTCTCTGCCTCAGTCTCTGCCTCAGTCTCTGCCTCAGTCTCTGCCTCAGTCTCTGCCTCAGTCTCTGCCTCAGTCTCAGTGAGTAAAGCTCGATGTGTTGCATTGTTCTGTACAAAGTGTGTCTCTCCTGTTTTGGTCTCGTTGCGGTCTCCTGCAGCTCGTGTTACACTCAGGCCCAGAGCTCGAGCTGCACCAGTTTAAAGAAAACAGATCAGATGTTGGCAGAGAATGAGTCCTGCTTTAGGCCTGCTTTAGGCCTGCTTTAGGCCTGCTTTAGACCTGCTTTAGGCCTGCTTTAGACCTGCTTTAGGCCTGCTTTAATCCTGCTTTAGACCTGCTTTAGACCTGCTTTAGTCCTGCTTTAGACCTGCTTTAGTCCTGCTTTAGTCCTGCTTTAGTCCTGCTTTAGTCCTGCTTTAGTCCTGCTTTAGTCCTGCTTTAGTCCTGCTTTAGGCCTGCTTTAGACCTGCTTTAGACCTGCTTTAGACCTGCTTTAGACCTGCTTTAGACCTGCTTTAGTCCTGCTTTAGACCTGCTTTAGGCCTGCTTTAGACCTGCTTTAGACCTGCTGTGACTCTATGATGTCTGCTGTGACTCTATGATGTCTGCTGTGACTCTATGATGTCTGCTGTGACTCTATGATGTCTGCTGTGACTCTATGATGTCTGCTGTGACTCTATGATGTCTGCTGTGACTCTATGATGTCTGCTGTGACTCTATGATGTCTGCTGTGACTCTATGATGTCTGCTGTGACTCTATGATGTCTGCAGTGACTCTATGATGTCTGCTGTGACTCTATGATGTCTGCAGTGACTCTATGATGTCTGCTGTGACTCTATGATGTCTGCAGTGACTCTATGATGTCTGCTGTGACTATGATGTCTGTGACTCTATGATGTCTGCTGTGACTCTATGATGTCTGCTGTGACTCTATGATGTCTGCTGTGTCTCTATGATGTCTGCTGTGACTCTATGATGTCTGCTGTGACTCTATGATGTCTGCTGTGTGTAACACTCAAGCCCTGGCGATCCAAGATGGCGCCCTGTTCAAATGAATGGTTGTGCTCAGTGGTGCTTTGTGACGGCATGGGGGCTGAAAGATTAGCGGAAGTCGCCTGGAACTCGCAAAGATCTATGGGAAACTCTCAAAGATCTATGGGAAACTCTCAAAGATCTATGGGAAACTCTCAAAGATCTATGGGAAACTGTATTTGGGCATCGTCTGGTCCTCCTGGTTCTGTGCAGTGGATGATCTCCCATAATGCATTGCGCCAAACACACGTGTGTGGGTCTCACACCGGGTCTCACGCACGTGCACAGAGGGTCTCACGCACGTGCACAGAGGGGCTCGGCCGCGCTCTGACCAATCAGAGCAGTTCATCAGAGCGGGAGTTAGAGCCAGAGCCAGACGAGCAGAGTTTGTGGCACTAAAGTGTGGATTTAAACAAAACCGAAGGATTTAAGAAGAAAAAAAGTTCAGGACGACAAGGGACACTAAAATCCCCACAAAATCCGATCTTTATTAAAGCTGTAGGTTCTCTGTCAGGTTCTCTGTCAGGTTCTCTGTCAGGTTCTCTGTCAGCTGAGGTCGAGCTGTTTTAATATGCATTGAGTTCTATGGGGAAAATTTCTGGGTAGCCCACGTGAATTTAGTCTGGTTCAGTCTGGTTCAGTCTGCAGTACCGCGAGAATCCCCCGAGCACGTGAGTTATTCAGCTACAAGCTAGTAATACCCTATCCAGTTAATAAAATACATCCATGGTAACACTGGTGTCAAAAGCCCACCTGTTTGACTTGGCATATGCTATGGGGCCATTGTTACTCTTTGGCTGCTGAGCGAGTGGTCATGTGACCGCAGCCACCCAATCAGTGTTGCTTATATGCGTGAACCTGGAAGCGGCGCATACGCGAGGGGAAGCCGTGTTTGTTTGCTGCAGAGGTGTGTTTCATGCATTTTTCTCGTGACTATTACCTGTATGGCTTTGGAAATTAAATGCCACTTGCTTGTTTCACTGTAGAGCCGATCACCAGCGTCGGATCGTTCTCCGATTGAGCCTTGCGTGTTTAGAAAGTGGAGTCGGCCACATTTGAATGATGGCGAGCTAAGGAACAGGCTTTTAGCCCAGAGATGAGACTCACCGGGAGATTCCTTCGAGGACCCCACCTACTGCTCTGTCCGGGCTGGTAGGAGGCTCTCGCAGCCACCCCTCACACTCGATTGCACTACTCGCACTTTATTCTACGGCCTTCAACCAATAATACTCATTACCTTCCATCCACATCCTTCCTCTGGATTATCTTCAAAACTTTTGGGCCGTATAAACTTTGTCGCTCCATCTGTGCGAACGAACTGAGCCGTGCTCTCACAATCAAAGGGCCGTGTCCCTATATGAACTGAACTATTTATTCATTCAATCTGTGCGGTTGAATCGTCTTGAACTATTGTTAAATGTTGACTTCTATTGTTACACTGTACATAACACCTGGGATTTATTATTGTATATTTGCACTGAATGGCCATTCATTTTAACACTTGTCTTCATGTTTTGTCTGTCTTGTCCATACACATTAATGTAAATACAAACCAGCTATCTAAACGCAAATATCCAGTCTCTGCCTCTCTCTCTGCGAGTCGCACCCAGTCTTCTGAGATCTAGCCTAACAATTACCTTAAATGTATGTATAGTACAGTACAATACCTGCTACATGTGACTCTATGATGTCTGTGACTCTATGATGTCTGCCGTGACTCTATGATGTCTGCAGTGACTCTATGTCTGCAGTGACTATGATGTCTGCCGTGACTCTATGATGTCTGCCGTGACTCTATGATGTCTGCAGTGACTCTATGATGTCTGCTGTGACTCTATGATGTCTGCTGTGACTCTGATGTCTGCTGTGACTCTATGATGTCTGCTGTGACTCTATGTCTGCTGTGACTCTATGATGTCTGCTGTGCCTCTATGATGTCAGCTGTGCCTCTATGATGTCTGCTGTGCCTCTATGATGTCTGCTGTGACTCTATGATGTCTGCTGTGACTCTATGATGTCTGCTGTGACTCTATGATGTCTGCAGTGACTCTATGATGTCTGCAGTGACTCTATGATGTCTGCCGTGACTCTATGATGTCTGCCGTGAATCTATGATGTCTGCCGTGAATCTATGATGTCTGCCGTGACTCTATGATGTCTGCTGTGACTCTATGATGTCTGCTGTGACTCTATGTCTGCTGTGACCCTATGATGTCTGCCGTGACTCTATGATGTCTGCTGTGACTATGATGTCTGCTGTGACTCTATGATGTCTGCTGTGTCTGCCGTGACTCTATGATGTCTGTGACTCTATGTCTGCTGTGACTCTATGATGTCTGCCTTGACTCTATGGTGTCTGCAGTGACTCTATGATGTCTGCAGTGACTCTATGATGTCTGCTGTGACTCTATGATGTCTGCCGTGACTCTATGATGTCTGTGACTCTATGATGTCTGCTGTTACTCTAGGATGTCTGCCGTGACTCTAGGATGTCTGCCGTGACTCTATGATGTCTGTGACTCGATGATGTCTGCTGTGACTCTATGATGTCTGCTGTGACTCTATGTCTGCTGTGACTCTATGATGTCTGCTGTGACTCTATGATGTCTGCCTTGACTCTATGGTGTCTGCAGTGACTCTATGATGTCTGCAGTGACTCTATGATGTCTGCAGTGACTCTATGATGTCTGCCGTGACTCTATGATGTCTGTGACTCTATGATGTCTGCTGTTACTCTAGGATGTCTGCCGTGACTCTATGATGTCTGTGACTCGATGATGTCTGCTGTGACTCTATGATGTCTGCTGTGACTCTATGTCTGCTGTGACTCTATGATGTCTGCTGTGACTCTATGATGTCTGCAGTGACTCTATGATGTCTGCTGTGACTCTATGATGTCTGCAGTGACTATGATGTCTGCAGTGACTCTATGATGTCTGCAGTGACTCTATGATGTCTGCAGTGACTCTATGATGTCTGCAGTGACTCTATGATGTCTGCTGTGACTCTATGATGTCTGCTGTGACTCTATGATGTCTGCTGTGACTCTATGATGTCTGCTGTGACTCTATGATGTCTGCAGTGACTATGATGTCTGCAGTGACTCTATGATGTCTGCTGTGACTCTATGATGTCTGCAGTGACTATGATGTCTGCAGTGACTCTATGATGTCTGCAGTGACTCTATGATGTCTGCTGTGACTCTATGATGTCTGCTGTGACTCTATGATGTCTGCAGTGACTATGATGTCTGCAGTGACTCTATGATGTCTGCAGTGACTCTATGATGTCTGCTGTGACTCTATGATGTCTGCAGTGACTATGATGTCTGCAGTGACTCTATGATGTCTGCTGTGACTCTATGATGTCTGCTGTGACTCTATGATGTCTGCAGTGACTATGATGTCTGCAGTGACTCTATGATGTCTGCTGTGACTCTATGATGTCTGCAGTGACTCTATGATGTCTGCAGTGCCTCTATGATGTCTGCTTGTAGAACCAGATGTAGTAATAATAATAATTTCTCACACACACACATACGCACACGCACAGAGACACAGACACGCACACACGCACAGACACACATAGACAAATACACACACAGACACACACATACACACACACAGACACACACAGAGACACACGCACACACGCACAGACACACACACACACACTGACACGTTATATAAAAGATATAGACCTGCTTTAGACCTGGTTTTCACATGGCTTAGACCTACATTTAAACCTAGCTCACTCCCGGCTAAGTCCCAGTTTACACATGGTCTACACCTGGTGTCACTTTTCACCTGGTCTGGAGCTGGTCCAGTCCATTGTCACTCTGGTCTCCTCTCGGTCCATAATCCAGTTCATGTGTAAATCCCACTGGGTCTAATCTGGACCATAGACTGACACATGTTTCAGTCTGAACCGGCCCATGGTCCGGTCCCTGGTCCGGTCCCTGGTCCGGTCCACAGCGGTCATGTCCTGATGTGTGTCATAATTCTCTCCTGACTGTGTCTAAATGCATCGGTCCAATGTGGTGCTGTGTCCTGGGTCTACGCACCTCCTCCTCCGCCGGGGTCCCGTTGCTTACGTGGGCCATACTCCTCCTGCTCCTCCTGCTCCTTCTGCTCCTCCTGCTCCTCCTGCTCCTCCTGCTCCTTCTGCTCCTTCTGCTCCTTCTGCTCCTCCTGCTCCTTCTGCTCCTCCTGCTCCTTCTGCTCCTTCTGCTCCTCCTGCTCCTTCTGCTCCTTCTGCTCCTTCTGCTCCTTCTGCTCCTCCTGCTCCTTCTGCTCCTCCTGCTCCTTCTGCTCCTTCTGCTCCTCCTGCTCCTTCTGCTCCTCCTGCTCCTCCTGCTCCTTCTGCTCCTTCTGCTCCTCCTGCTCCTCCTGCTCCTTCTGCTCCTTCTGCTCCTTCTGCTCCTCCTGCTCCTTCTGCTCCTTCTGCTCCTCCTGCTCCTTCTGCTCCTCCTGCTCCTTCTGCTCCTTCTGCTCCTCCTGCTCCTTCTGCTCCTTCTGCTCCTTCTGCTCCTCCTGCTCCTTCTGCTCCTTCTGCTCCTTCTGCTCCTCCTGCTCCTTCTGCTCCTTCTGCTCCTTCTGCTCCTCCTGCTCCTTCTGCTCCTTCTGCTCCTTCTGCTCCTTCTGCTCCTTCTGCTCCTTCTGCTCCTCCTGCTCCTTCTGCTCCTCCTGCTCCTTCTGCTCCTTCTGCTCCTCCTGCTCCTTCTGCTCCTCCTGCTCCTTCTGCTCCTTCTGCTCCTTCTGCTCCTTCTGCTCCTCCTGCTCCTTCTGCTCCTTCTGCTCCTCCTGCTCCTTCTGCTCCTCCTGCTCCTCCTGCTCCTCCTGCTCCTTCTGCTCCTTCTGCTCCTTCTGCTCCTTCTGCTCCTTCTGCCTGATTCTCCTCAGACACTAAATAAAAATATAAATAAACCCAGTCAGGACCGCGCCATCGTCTCCGTCCTCTTCTCGTCACACATAAACCCGTGTCGTGTCGGACGGAGGAGAGCAGCTCCGCGGAGGACCTGGGGAGCGGGCTCTTCCGTGATCTGCAGCCGACTGAGGAGCTCCGAGAGGCGGCTACTGGACACAGCTCTCCCCGGGGATGGAGGCTTCCGGGTCCCGCCCACAGCCTCCCTCTGCGCTCGCTGATGGACGCCTCCACATCTGCTCTGTGTACAGAGCCTGGTACAGACTCACAAACACGGACCTACTGGACCTCCCAGAGGCTCTCATTCAAATCAGTGGAATTTTGAAAAAATCACCTCAAAAATGTTTAGTTTTTGAAGGAACCAGATTTATTAAAAGCCATTTGTAGTGTTTTTAGCTGTTTTCACTTTTCATTGAATTTTAAGTTAACTGAAATACAGCTATGCTAACTGCTACACGTAACGGCTGTGTTGCTATGGTAACTGCTACAACTTGCTCTTTACCATTATTTATTTTGCTTATGTACATAATATATATTTAAGTAAAAGTATATTTTCAACTGTTTTTGGAGGAATATGACTCTTCTTAACTTAACTGATGTTTTCAATGTAGTTTGTGCATTGCTATTCACCTGTTGTCCCTCTGTCTGTTCCATGAACGCACTGTGGGGACTCAAACCCTGGACCTGAGGACTAGTCCCAGTCTGAGACCCTGACCCTGGACCTGAGGACTAGTCCCAGTCTGAGACCCTGACCCTGGACCTGAGGACTAGTCCCAGTCTGAGACTCAAACCCTGGACCTGAGGACTAGTCCCAGTCTGAGACCCTGACCCTGGACCTCAGATTCAGATTCAGATTCATTTTATTAGCCATGTGCAGTATACAAACTACATTGGAATACATTTGCAAAGAAAGGTACTCTGTGTGCACCGACAGAATAAAGAACACGATACAATGTAATATAAAATACACATACACTGAATATAAAAGAATAAAAAAACAGCTGACACTGTGGCACCGATCAACAAAACGATACAAGGGGTAAAAGCAGGAATTAAAGTGCTCTGTTTAGGCACCTAACAGCTTGTGGAAAGAAGCTGTTAGGACTGAGGACTAGTCCCAGTCTGAGACCCTGGAGCTAAGGACTAGTCCCAGTCTGAGACCCTGGAGCTAAGGACTAGTCCCAGTCTGAGACCCTGGAGCTAAGGACTAGTCCCAGTCTGAGACCCTGGAGCTAAGGACTAGTCCCAGTCTGAGACCCTGGAGCTAAGGACTAGTCCCAGTCTGAGACCCTGGAGCTAAGGACTAGTCCCAGTCTGAGACCCTGGAGCTAAGGACTAGTCGGCGGCACGGTGGCTGAGTGGATAGCACTCTCGCCTCTCAGCAAGAAGGTCCTGGGTTCAAATCCCGGTTGGACCAGGGCCTTTCTGAGTGGAGTTTGCATGTTCTCCCCGTGTCTGCGTAGGTTTCCTCCGGGTGCTCCGGTTTCCCCTACCACTAAAAATATGTACAATAGGTCTGGCATGTGCCTCCTGTACTGGCCCCGCTCCCAAAAAATAACAATTGTAAACCGCTTTGAGACTCCGATGTGCAGTGAAAAGGCGGTATATAAATAAAAAAAAAAATAAAAAAGATTACTAGTCCCAGTCCGAGACCCTGGAGCTGAGGACTAGTCCCAGTCTCAGACCCTGGACCTGAGGACTAGTCCCAGTCTGAGACCCTGACCCTGGACCTAAGTAGTAGTCCCAGTCCGAGACCCTGGACCTGAAGACTAGTCCCAGTCCGAGACCCTGGAGCTAAGGACTAGTCCCAGTCCGAGACCCTGGAGCTGAGGACTAGTCCCAGTCTCAGACCCTGGACCTGAGGACTAGTCCCAGTCTGAGACCCTGACCCTGGACCTAAGTAGTAGTCCCAGTCCGAGACCCTGGACCTGAAGACTAGTCCCAGTCCGAGACCCTGGAGCTGAGGACTAGTCCCAGTCTGAGACTCTGACCCTGGACCTGAGTAGTAGTCCCAGTACGAGACCCTGGACCTGAAGACTAGTCCTAGTCCGAGACCCTGGAGCTGAGGACTAGTCCCAGTCTCAGACCCTGGACCTGAGGACTAGTCCCAGTCTGAGACCCTGGACCTGGGGAGTAGTCACAGTACGAGACCCTGGAGCTGAGGACTAGTCCCAGTCTGAGACCCTGACCCTGAGTAGTAGTCCCAGTACGAGACCCTGGACCTGAGGACTAGTCCCAATCTCAGACCCTGGACCTGAGGACTAGTCCCAGTACGAGACCCTGAGGGCTAGTCCCAGTCCGAGACCCTGGAGCTGAGGACTAGTCCCAGTCTGAGACCCTGACCCTGGAACTGAGGGCTAGTCCTAGTCCGAGACCCTGGACCTGAGGACTAGTCCCAGTCTGAGACCCTGACCCTGGACCTGAGGACTAGTCCCAGTCTGAGACCCTGGACCTGAGGACTAGTCCCAGTCAGAGACCCTGGAACCTGAGGACTAGTCCCAGTCTGAGACCCTGACCCTGGACCTGAGGACTAGTCCCAGTCTGAGACCCTGGAGCTGAGGACTAGTCCCAGTCTGAGACCTTGGAACCTGAGGACTAGTCCCAGTCTGAAACCCTGACCCTGGACCTGAGGACTAGTCCCAGTCTGAGACCCTGACCCTGGACCTGAGGACTAGTCCCAGTCTGAGACCCTGGAGCTGAGGACTAGTCCCAGTCTGAGACCCTGGACCTGAGGACTAGTCCCAGTCTGAGACCCTGACCCTGGACCTGAGGACTAGTCCCAGTCTGCAGACCCTGGAACCTGAGGACTAGTCCCAGTCTGAGACCCTGGACCTGAGGACTAGTCCCAGTCTGAGACCCTGGACCTGAGGACTAGTCCCAGTCTGAGACCCTGGACCAGAGGACTAGTCCCAGTCTAACGTAGAGAGTTAAGAAACTAGTAAAAACCACCAATGGAGAAAGTTTAACATTTTATTTTATTCAAAGTAAATTGTGTTTGTCCTTTTTATCTTTTTACAGCAGATTTAGATGTTTTTGGTAAATGTAAATATAAAAAAACTATGGAACATGTTTTTACAGCGCAGCAGATCCACAGACCCCGACCCCCGACTTGAGAACCACCGAGTCTGAGGTATTCCAGAAATGTGTCGGTCCAGAATCAAATCATGGAAAACTCTGAACACACACTTTTTACACAATGCTCTTTATAATGAACACACACAGCTACACAACAGCTACACAACAGCACACTGTAAAAATGTCACAGTGCAATTTACAAAAGGAGAAGAAGACTTTGGGACAGAAAAGTAGAAGAAGAAGAAGAAGAGAGGCTTAATGCTCCGGGAGTTCCAAAGTTCTAGCACCGGCTGCAGCTTTTACGGACGACCAAAAACTGCAGCTTTGTGTGGAATGAATACAAATAAAAACATGTGTTGTTAGCGTGACGGAGGACGCTTAAGGTCATGTGTGTGTTGTTAGCGTGACGGAGGACGCTTAAGGTCATGCGTGTGTTGTTAGCGTGACGGAGGACGCTTAAGGTCATGCGTGTGTTGTTAGCGTGACGGAGGACGCTTAAGGTCATGCGTGTGTTGTTAGCGTGACGGAGGACGCTTAAGGTCATGCGTGTGTTGTTAGCGTGACGGAGGACGCTTAAGGTCATGCATGTGTTGTTAGCGTGACGGAGGACGCTTAAGGTCATGCGTGTGTTGTTAGCGTGACGGAGGACGCTTAAGGTCATGCGTGTGTTGTTAGCGTGACGGAGGACGCTTAAGGTCATGCGTGTGTTGTTAGCGTGACGGAGGACGCTTAAGGTTATGCGTGTGTTGTTAGCGTGACGGAGGACGCTTAAGGTCATGCGTGTGTTGTTAGCGTGACGGAGGACGCTTAAGGTCATGTGTGTGTTGTTAGCGTGACGGAGGACGCTTAAGGTCATGTGTGTGTTGTTAGCGTGACGGAGGACGCTTAAGGTCATGCGTGTGTTGTTAGCGTGACGGAGGACGCTTAAGGTCATGCGTGTGTTGTTAGCGTGACGGAGGACGCTTAAGGTCATGCGTGTGTTAGCGTGACGGAGGACGCTTAAGGTCATGCGTGTGTTGTTAGCGTGACGGAGGACGCTTAAGGTCATGCGTGTGTTGTTAGCGTGACGGAGGACGCTTAAGGTCATGCGTGTGTTGTTAGCGTGACGGAGGACGCTTAAGGTCATGCGTGTGTTGTTAGCGTGACGGAGGACGCTTAAGGTCATGCGTGTGTTGTTAGCGTGACGGAGGACGCTTAAGGTTATGCGTGTGTTGTTAGCGTGACGGAGGACGCTTAAGGTCATGCGTGTGTTGTTAGCGTGACGGAGGACGCTTAAGGTCATGCGTGTGTTGTTAGCGTGACGGAGGACGCTTAAGGTCATGCGTGTGTTGTTAGCGTGACGGAGGACGCTTAAGGTCATGCGTGTGTTGTTAGCGTGACGGAGGACACTTAAGGTCATGCGTGTGTTGTTAGCGTGACGGAGGACGCTTAAGGTCATGCGTGTGTTGTTAGAGTGACGGAGGATGCTTAAGGTCATGCGTGTGTTGTTAGCGTGACGGAGGACGCTTAAGGTCATGCGTGTGTTGTTAGCGTGACGGAGGACGCTTAAGGTCATGCGTGTGTTGTCAGCGTGACGGAAGACGCTTAAGGTCATGCGTGTGTTGTTAGCGTGACGGAGGACGCTTAAGGTCATGTGTGTGTTGTTAGCGTGACGGAGGACGCTTAAGGTCATGTGTGTGTTGTTAGCGTGACGGAGGACGCTTAAGGTCATGCGTGTGTTGTTAGCGTGACGGAGGACGCTTAAGGTCATGTGTGTGTTGTTAGCGTGACGGAGGACGCTTAAGGTCATGCGTGTGTTGTTTGCGTGACGGAGGACGCTTAAGGTCATGTGTGTGTTGTTGGCGTGACGGAGGACGCTTAAGGTCATGTGTGTGTTGTTAGCGTGACGGAGGACGCTTAAGGTCATGTGTGTGTTGTTAGCGTGACGGAGGACGCTTAAGGTCATGTGTGTGTTGTTAGCGTGACGGAGGACGCTTAAGGTCATGTGTGTGTTGTTAGCGTGACGGAGGACGCTTAAGGTCATGTGTGTGTTGTTAGCGTGACGGAGGACGCTTGAGGCCGCTGCACACGACGGCTCACACTGTAGTGTTCGAATAAAAGGGTAAAATGCAGTAAAAACAGCAGAATGTTGGAGTTCAGAGTCCGAGGGGCCACCAGGGGGCGCTGCTGCTGCTAGTGAGGCTCCACTGCCGCTGGAACAACACACAAGAAACATGTTAGAACAGCTGAAGCTAGGCAGGGAACGGCCTGGTTAGTGCTGTGATGGGAGACTTCTGGGAACAGCAGGGGCCACAGTGGGGCGGCTGTGGCTGTAAGGTGCCAAACTGTGGTTGTGTCCTTAGGCAAGACACTCTGTGTGTGTCTCTGTGTGTGTCTGTATCTCTGTGTGTGTCTGTATCGTCTGTATCTCTGTGTGTGTCTGTGTCTCTTTGTGTGTCTGTGTCTCTGTGTGTGTCTGTAGCTCTGTGTGTGTCTGTATCTCTGTGTGTGTCTGTATCGTCTGTATCTCTGTGTGTGTCTGTGTCTCTTTGTGTGTCTGTGTCTCTGTGTGTGTCTGTAGCTCTGTGTGTGTCTGTAGCTCTGTGTGTGTCTGTAGCTCTGTGTGTGTCTGTAGCTCTGTGTGTGTCTGTAGCTCTGTGTGTGTCTGTAGCTCTGTGTGTGTCTGTATCTCTGTGTGTGTCTGTATCTCTGTGTGTGTCTGTATCTCTGTGTCTCTGTGTGTCTATCTGTGTGTGTCTTATATGCAACCTAACTACCCCCATCTCTCACCAGTGTGCTCCATCTGCTCCTTCTGGTCCTTCTCCGTCTGGTCTGGTTGCTTGGTCTCCATACGCTCATTGGTCTCCTTCCTCTCCTCGGTCTCCATACGCTCATTGGTCTCCTTACTCTCCTCGGTCTCCTTGCGGTCGTGCACTTGCTCCATGCGCCTCTTCACTTCCTGCAGCAGGTCTTCGGTCTTGAGTTTGTCTCTGCACCTCTGGCTCTCCTCCCGTTCCTTCTCCTCCAGCAGAGACCGTAAGAAGCCCTCGCTCACCACTTCCTGTCCCTCGCCCAATAGGAAGGCGTTCTTGAAGCGGCTGTACAACATGGACGCCTTGTGCATGATGGCCTTGTTGGCACGGTAACGACGCAACTACAAGAAACACAGACGGGTTAGTGTGTGTGTGTTAGTGCGAGTGTGTGTGTGTTTAAAGCTGGGGTGCGTTACTTTCACCACAGCAAAACTGGACTATGTAATACAACTTGTGTCTCTAGTTCTTGGCTCTAAAAAAGTTCAAAAGAGAGAGACCAGAGAGAGAGAGACTAGAGAGAGAGAGACCAGATAGGCCAGAGAGAGGCCAGAGAGAGAGAGACTAGAGAGAGAGAGACCAGATAGGCCAGAGAGAGGCCAGAGAGAGACCAGAGAGAGACCAGAGAGAGACCAGAGAGAGACCAGAGAGAGACCAGAGAGAGACCAGAGAGGCCAGAGAGAGACCAGAGAGAGACCAGAGAGACCAGAGAGAGACCAGAGAGAGACCAGAGAGGGGCTAGTACTAGTCAGCCGTGGTACCTGTCGGAGCGTGGTGATGAGCTCGCTGTGGCGCTGCACATGTTGTGATGTCACATACACCATGTTCAGCTGATCCAGGGCCAGAAGACATTTACCCACATCCTGGAAACACACAGAAGGTCATCTACAGCCTCAGTCCTGGGCCTGCAGCCTCAGTCCTGGGTCTGCAGCCTCAGTCCTGGGTCTGCAGCCTCAGTCCTGGGTCTGCAGCCTCAGTCCTGGGTCTGCAGCCTCAGTCCTGGGTCTGCAGCCTCAGTCCTGGGTCTGCAGCCTCAGCCCTGGGTCTACAGCCTCAGTCCTGGGTCTACAGCATCAGTCCTGGGTCTACAGCCTCAGTCCTGGGTCCAGATTTGCGCTCATGGTTCTTACCGGATTGTCGGCCTTGAGCGAGATGCGGATGTCGCCGTGGAGTCGGTGCAGCGTGGAGTCTGTGAGCGTCTTCCCCTCTGCGCCTCCTTCTCCTGGACTCCTCACTGCTCCCTTCCCCTCCTCCCCCTCAGGCCTCCCTCCCTCCCCCTTCGTCTCCTCCTCCCTCAGCGCCCGCATCATCTTCTCCTGCAGAGACTCCATAGTTTCTATCGCTGCAAAATCCTCGTTCTTTTTCCGTTTGCTTTTTATTACCGCTTCTTCTTCCACTTTATCCCTGCGACCGACTCTCCTGCTGGTCTCGCTCTTCTTGGGCGCGTCCAGATCCCTCTTCTTGACCACTACCTCCTTGTTTCCTCTCCTCTCTGCTTCCTTTTGTGCCGACCTTTCTCCACTCTTGTCCTTTTTATCACTGCTCCTTCTCTCTCTGGTCTTCTCTTCCTTTGATCGACCCCGTTTCTCATGGTCCACTCTGGTTTTTTGCCCTTGCCTAGTCTCGCGCTCATCCTTCCTCGCTTTATCCGCCATTTTTGTAGTCTTTTCATCTTTTACTGAGTCTTTGCGCTCCTTGCTTTCCCTAGTCTCCTTGTTGCTAGCGTCTTTGCTTCTGGATGCATCCCTACTGTCTTTACCCTTTTCTTTTAAATCCTTTTTGATTTTAACTTCGCTAACCCCACCCATAGTTTTAACGTGAACTTTAGCTCCTGAGGCTTTCACAATCTTGCCTATAATCTTCTTCTCCTCCTTTTTACCCTCTTCAGAAGTGTCCTTCGCCACGTCCTTGGTCGCTGCCTCAGAGGAGTCTTTCGTTTGGCCTTTGGTAGCGTCCCTCGTGGCCTCCTTTGCAGAACTAACCTCCCTTGCAGCGTCTGTGGTCGTGTCCTTTGTCTTATTTCCAACTTCCTTGATCTTGGTAGCTTCCATGGATGCATCCTTAGACCTCTTCTCCTTGGTAGAGTCCTTGGAAGCCTCCTTCACAGCATCTTTAGCTATGTCCTTGCTTGTCTTCTCCTTGTTAGCATCCTTTGACACTTCTTTGGTCGCAGCCTTCCCGGTCTCCTTCCCGGTCTCCTTCCCGGTCTCCTTCCCGGTCTCCTTCCCGGTCTCCTTCCCGGTCTCCTTCCCGGTCTCCTTCCCGGTCTCCTTCCCGGTCTCCTTCCCGGTCTCCTTCCCGGTCTCCTTCCCGGTCTCCTTCCCGGTCTCCTTCCCGGTCTCCTTCCCGGTCTCCTTCCCGGTCTCCTTCCCGGTCTCCTTCCCGGTCTCCCTCACGGTCTCCCTCACGGTCACCTTCCCAGTCTCCTTCCCGGTCTCCTTCACGGTCTCCTTAGCAGTTTCCTTGGCAGCCTTCGTTGTGGTTTCTTGAGTCAAATCCTGAACTTTCTTATTCTTGGCCGCTTCCTTCGTAACCTCCTCAGAAGCACCCTTAGTTCCCTCCTTAGCTGTGTCTATAGTTCTGTCCTTGGTCCTCTTCTCTCTAGTTGCTTCCTTGGCATCTTCCTGGGTTGTACCATGAGAGGAGTCCTTTGTCTTCTTGTCCTTGGTGACATCTTTTGTCTCCTCCTTGCTAGAGTCCTTGGTAGCTTCTTTACTAGTGCCCCTTGTCTTGGTGTCTCTGGTGGCTTCCTTGGCAGTCCCCTTCGTCTCATCCTTGGTAGAGCCTTTTGTAGAATCTTTTGTTGCACCCCGTGTTCTAATATCACTGGTTTCCTGCTTGGTAGCTTCCCTAGTCCCTCTAGCTGCTTCTTTTATGGGCTCCTTGGGAACCTTTGCTGTCGTTTCTTGCGTAGAGTCCTTATTTCTCTTATTCTTGGCAGCTTCTTTCGACAAGTCCTTACTCTCATCCTTGGTGCAGTCCACGGTAGCATCGTTAGATAAACCCCTGGTTCTCCTCTCTCTGGTTGCTTCCTGGGCTGGTTCTTTTGCTGCATCTTGAGACTCTTTCTTAGTGTCTGCCTTGGTGGAGTCTGTGGTAGCGTCTTTGGAGGCACCCCTAGACCTTCTCTCTCTGGGTGCTTCCTGGGCCGGTTCTTTAGACTCTCTCTTGGTCTCGTCTTTCGTAGAGTCCATGGGAACCTCTTTAGCTGTACCTCTAGACCTCCTCTCTCTCGTTGCTTCCGGTGCTGGTTCTTTAGCTGTATCTTTAGACTCTCTCTTAGTCTCATCTTTCGTAGAGTCCATGGGAACCTCTTTAGCTGTACCTCTGGACCTCCTCTCTCTGGTTGCTTCCTGAATAGGTTCCTTGTTGGCATCTTTAGTGATCTCTTTAGTCTCATCTTTCATAGAGTCCATGGAAGCCTCTTTAGCCGTGACTCTAGACCTCCTCTCTCTGGTTGCTTCCTGGGCCGGTTCCTTGGTGGCCTCTTTACTTGTTTCCTTAGTCTCATCCTTGGTAGAGTCCATGGGAACCTCTTTAACGGTGCCTCTAGACCTTTTCTCTCGGGTTGCTTCCTGAATAGGTTCTTTAGCTGTATCTTTAGACTCTCTCTTGGTCTCGTCTTTCGTAAAGTCCATGGGAACCTCTTTAGCCGTGCCTCTCGACCTCCGCTCTCGGGTTGCTTCCTGGGCGGGTTCCTTGGAGGCCTCTTTAGGCACAGACTTAGCCTCATCGTTGGTAGAGTCCTGAGTTGCTGCCCTGGTCCTGGTCGCTCGGGTGGTTTCTTTGGAGGCCTCCTTGGTGGTTGCTGTGGTCGTCTCTTTAGATCCATCCTTCGCCTCCTCGTCGGTAGCTCCTTTAGGTGTTCCTCTTGTCCTCCTCCCTCTGGCAGCTTCCTTTGTAGGCGTGTCCTTCTCCTTGTTAGTGTCTTTCTGTCCTTCCTTTTCCCTCATTTCAACCACTTTCGTCTCCTTTTCTGCTTCCTCAACAGAATCCTCAGTTTCTTTACTTCTCTGGTTGGACAATTCCTTTTTCGTTTTGTGAATTGCTTCCTCGTTTGATTCTTTGTCTCCTTCTTCAACATCACTTTTAGAAGTCTTTCCGTCCGCTCCACCACTTTTCGTCTTGTCTGTTTGAGCCTTTGTGTCTTTAGAATCACTTTTGTTTTTTGTTTCTTTCTTTGGGTCGGATTTGATCTGCTTTTTACTCTGAGCAGCAGTGGTACTTCTCCTGAAAAAGTGAGAGAAATGTATAATCATATAACTTATACTTTTTTAGAAAGAAGAAACCGTATCTACGACGAGGTTCACGACCAGAGAGAGACCAGAAAGAGAGACCAGAGAGAGAGACCAGAGAGAGACTAGAGAGAGACTGTCACTAGAGAGAGACCAGAGAGAGAATAGAGAGACCAGAGAGAGACCAGAGAGAGACACGAGAGAGAATAGAGAGACCAGAGAGAGACCAGAGAGAGAATAGAGAGACCAGAGAGAGACCAGAGAGAGACCAGAGAGAGACTAGAGAGAGACCAGAGAGAGACAAGAGAGAGACAAGAGAGTCAAGGTTGAAATATTAAACAATCCTAATCACAATTCAAAATCTAACATATTAAATATCCAACAGTCTCTCTCCTCACCGTGTGCTCTCTCGCCTCTTGTCTCCGTCTCCGTCAGAAATCAAGCCTCTCAGAGACTTCAGGAGGGTCTCTCGCTTTGAGGCCAGACGCTTCTGTTTCTGTTAACGACAGAATAAACCGTGAGCCATAAAACCGTCTGCACAGAAGTTTACAGCTCCACAGACTGCAGCATTAGGAGGATGTGGACGATTACCACAGAGACAAGACATTATAGACCCAGGTATTGATCCGACAACACCATCCAGGCCGTAAACTCAGACTGCATCTCCGAGACCACGCAGGGTCTGTCTCCGAGACCACGCAGGGTCTGTCTCCGAGACCACGCAGGGTCTGTCTGCGAGACCACGCAGGGTCTGTCTCCGAGACCACGCAGGGTCTGTCTGCGAGACCACGCAGGGTCTGTCTCCGAGACCACGCAGGGTCTGTCTCCGAGACCACGCAGGGTCTGTCTCAGAGACCACGCAGGGTCTGTCTCCGAGACCACGCAGGGTCTGTCTCCGAGACCACGCAGGGTCTGTCTCAGAGACCACGCAGGGTCTGTCTCAGAGACCACGCAGGGTCTGTCTCCGAGACCACGCAGGGTCTGTCTCCGAGACCACGCAGGGTCTGTCTCCGAGACCACGCAGGGTCTGTCTCCGAGACCACGCAGGGTCTGTCTGCGAGACCACGCAGGGTCTGTCTCAGAGACCACGCAGGGTCTGTCTCCGAGACCACGCAGGGTCTGTCTCCGAGACCACGCAGGGTCTGTCTCCGAGACCACGCAGGGTCTGTCTCAGAGACCACGCAGGGTCTGTCTCCGAGACCACTCTGGGTCTGTCTCAGAGACCACTCTGGGTCCGTCTCAGAGATCAGAAACACAGGTCTTTAAATATGTTTGACTGATTTAGATTGTATGAGGCTAATGTGTCTTAAGAAGAACCAGCTGTCAATCAGCCAACAAACAAGTTTAATTGAAACTGCTTACTCACAGAGAGAAAGGAGAGAGACCAGAGAGAGACCGAGGAGAGAGACTGAAGAGAGAGACAGAGAGACCGAGGAGGGAGACCGAAGAGAGAGACAGAGAGAGAGATAGGAAAGAGACCAGAGAGAGACCATGAGATCAGAGTGAGAGAGACTAAAGAGAGAACAAAAAGAGACACCAGAGAGAGAACCAGTATAGCCATCTCATACCTTATTTTAAAGCTCAAAACCATCGTCTCATGGTCAGTTTTGGTGAACTAAAGCGGCTTAAACCACACACAACACAGAGTTCACATGATCAGGGTTTTATCTGGATTCAATACCAGAATCACATATATTTGCTTCTCTTTGTGTCTGAAGTTCCTGGTATTTGCCTGGATTGACCCAAAAACAACTCCAGGTTCTGCATAATGTCACCTACTTAATTAGCTGATAATATGCAAGTCCTAAATGGCGGCCATAGTGGAAAACTGGCAGCCATCTTGAATAATTAAAGTACCTCTTCATCCACTGTGTCCTCCTCTTCCTCCGGTTTCTCCTCCTCCTCCTCTGAACCCTCTTCTTCTTCACGCTTTCGTTTAGCTCCCGGTCTCCCCCTAGTCTTCTTCTTGCCGGTCTCTTGTCGGCCATCTTGCGCCTGTCTGCTGCGTTTCCCTCTTCTGGGCTCAGCCTCTTCCTGTCTCCTCTTCCTCTGTGGTTCAGCTGCTGCAGTTTTGGCCTCCTCTTCTTCTTCTTCTTCTTCTTCTTCTCCTCCCTCTTCCTCTTCCTCGTTCTCTTTCTCCTCCTCTTCCTCGTCCTTCTCCTTCTGCACTCCTCGTCGTCTTCTTCTTCGCCCAGCGGCTCGTGGAGTTTGTGCCCGTGACTTTGGAGTTAGCTTGTTGTCGTTAGCAGTCTTAGCGTTAGCAGTTTTAGCATCAGGGGTCGGTTTGGAGCTTGGGGTTTTGGGAGTTGATTTTGAAGCCGGAGATTTGGACGGAGTCTGATGTGCTTTAGGTTTTGGCACCTGTGAAAAATAGAGAAATGCATATAAATATATTTATTCAAATTGATCAGAACAAGATACAAGGTACATGATCTCTTTGTTTTACTACAACATTCATATATTCCTGTCTCACACCCTGTGAGACAGGCCTCCTCTCTGACAATGTTTAAAACCAGGTTAAAGACAGTTCTGTTTAGCTGTGCTACAACTGAGGGATTTTATATTTGTATCTTTCTTTTTAATGTTCTGTGATTATTTATGATTTTAATGCTTTCTTGTTTTGTTCAGCACTTTGAATTGCCTTGTGTATGAATTGTGCTTAATAAATAAACTTGCCTTGCCTTGCCTATATTCCATCATTAGATCAACTTTTTCAGACAGAAAAGTGAAAATGAGAAATCAGAGAGAGAGACCAGAGAGAGAACAGAGAGAGACCAGAGAGCGACCAGAGAGAGAGACCAGAGAGAGAGACCAGAGAGAGAGACCAGAGAGAGAGAGACCAGAGAGAGACCAGAGAGAGCGACCAGAGAGAGACCAGAGAGAGAGACCAGAGAGAGAGAGACCAGAGAGAGAGACCAGAGAGAGAGACCAGAGAGAGAGAGACCAGAGAGAGACCAGAGAGAGCGACCAGAGAGAGACCAGAGAGAGAGACCAGAGAGAGAGAGACCAGAGAGAGACCAGAGAGAGCGACCAGAGAGAGAGAGACCAGAGAGAGACCAGAGAGAGGGACCAGAGAGCGACCAGAGAGCGACCAGAGAGGGACCACAGAGCGACCAGAGAGAGAGACCAGAGAGAGACCAGAGAGAGACCAGAGGAGCGACCAGAGAGAGAGACCAGAGAGAGAGACCAGAGAGAGAGACCAGAGAGAGAGACCAGAGAGAGAGACCAGAGAGAGAGAGACCAGAGAGAGACCAGAGAGAGCGACCAGAGAGAGACCAGAGAGAGAGACCAGAGAGAGACCAGAGAGCGACCAGAGAGGGACCACAGAGCGACCAGAGAGAGAGACCAGAGAGAGAGACCAGAGAGAAAGACCAGAGAGAGACCAGAGAGAGACCAGAGAGCGACCAGAAAGAGAGACCAGAGAGAGAGACCAGAGAGAGAGACCAGAGAGAGAGAGACCAGAGAGAGCGACCAGAGAGAGAGAGACCAGAGAGAGACCAGAGAGAGGGACCAGAGAGCGACCAGAGAGCGACCAGAGAGGGACCACAGAGCGACCAGAGAGAGAGACCAGAGAGAGAGACCAGAGAGAAAGACCAGAGAGAGACCAGAGAGAGACCAGAGAGCGACCAGAAAGAGAGACCAGAGAGAGAGACCAGAGAGAGAGACCAGAGAGAGAGAGACCAGAGAGAGCGACCAGAGAGAGAGAGACCAGAGAGAGACCAGAGAGAGGGACCAGAGAGCGACCAGAGAGCGACCAGAGAGAGACCAGAGAGAGAGACCAGAGAGAGAGACCAGAGAGAGAGACCAGAGAGAGACCAGAGAGAGACCAGAGAGAGACCAGAGAGCGACCAGAGAGAGAGACCAGAGAGAGAGACCAGAGAGAGAGACCAGAGAGAGAGAGACCAGAGAGAGCGACCAGAGAGAGACCAGAGAGAGAGACCAGAGAGAGAGAGACCAGAGAGAGACCAGAGAGAGCGACCAGAGAGAGAGAGACCAGAGAGAGACCAGAGAGAGGGACCAGAGAGCGACCAGAGAGCGACCAGAGAGGGACCACAGAGCGACCAGAGAGAGCGACCAGAGAGGGACCACAGAGCGACCAGAGAGAGAGACCAGAGAGAGAGACCAGAGAGAAAGACCAGAGAGAGACCAGAGAGAGACCAGAGAGAGAGACCAGAGAGAGAGAGACCAGAGAGAGACCAGAGAGAGCGACCAGAGAGAGACCAGAGAGAGAGACCAGAGAGAGACCAGAGAGAGGGACCAGAGAGCGACCAGAGAGCGACCAGAGAGGGACCACAGAGCGACCAGAGAGAGAGACCAGAGAGAGAGACCAGAGAGAAAGACCAGAGAGAGACCAGAGAGAGACCAGAGAGCGACCAGAGAGAGAGACCAGAGAGAGAGACCAGAGAGAGAGACCAGAGAGAGAGAGACCAGAGAGAGACCAGAGAGAGCGACCAGAGAGAGAGAGACCAGAGAGAGACCAGAGAGAGGGACCAGAGAGCGACCAGAGAGAGACCAGAGAGAGAGACCAGAGAGAGAGACCAGAGAGAGAGACCAGAGAGAGAGACCAGAGAGAGACCAGAGAGAGACCAGAGAGAGACCAGAGAGAGACCAGAGAGAGACCAGAGAGGGACCACAGAGCGACCAGAGAGAGAGACCAGAGAGAGAGACCAGAGAGAGAGACCAGAGAGAAACCAGAGAGAGAGACCAGAGAGAGAGACCAGAGAGAGAGACCAGAGAGCGACCAGAGAGAGACCAGAGAGCGACCAGAGAGAGAACAGAGAGAGACCAGAGAGAGACCAGAGAGAGAGACTGCAGTTCTATCACTAGTTTCCACATGCGTGCATCTCTGGCCTCTGTCACATCTTCAGACCCCCCTCTCTCAGCCCAAAGAGTCAAATAGTGACTTACAGGGATCTTTCTCACACAAACATGTTTTTTGTCTAATGGGATGAAGACGGCAGGTTGTGGTCTGATCTGAATCACAACTAACTCACAGCTCAAAGGAACATTTACAACAGATACAAATGTGTCCTTCTTTGAGAGTTAAGTAAGATAAGATAAGAGTTCCTTTATTCGTCCCACAGTGGGGAAATTTCGTTGTTGCAGCGCACAGACAGGACAGTAGTAAGAGCATACAGGGATCACACAATATATACAAAATTAGCAGTAGCTATGTTTCTTAACTAGCATCATAAAGTACAACATTAATGTGATTATCCCTGAGCTCTGATCCCAATGCTTCAGGCCTGTAACTCCCTGTGCTGCCACCAGAGGGAGCTACAGACACAGACAGAAGGTTCTAAAGAAGTCATTTCACTTGAGAAAAGACTGTGTGCAATACTTTTGTTGTAAAGACTGAAAACTGCTCCAAGTGTGATGTCACTATGACGTCATAGTGACGTCATAGTGACGTCATAGTGACACAAGGACTGAGACAGGAGCTTTGTTTTTGCCAGGAGTTTGTGCCAGAGGTTCCTGACACCAGCGTGGATGGAGCTAAACACAGCCGCAGGTCAGTTCTGTATCCTCTGTCTCCCTGAACCCTCTGTGTCTGACCCAGTGCCTGACCCGTAGACTGACCCGGTCTCTCACCTGGTGTCTCACCTGGTCGCTGACCCCGTCGCTGACCCGGTGTCTCACATGGTGTCTGACCCAGTATCTGCCCCCGTGTCTCACATGGTGTCTGATCCCGTGTCTCACATGGTGTCTGACCCCGTGTCTCACATGGTGTCTGACCCAGTGTCTCATCTGGTGTCTGACCCCGTGTCTCATCTGGTGTCTGACCCCGTGTCTCATCTGGTGTCTGACCCCGTGTCTCATCTGGTGTCTGACCCCGTGTCTCACCTGGTGTCTGACCCCGTGTCTCACCTGGTGTCTGACCCCGTGTCTCACCTGGTGTCTGACCCCGTGTCTCACATGGTGTCTGACCCCGTGTCTCACATGGTGTCTGACCCCGTGTCTCACATGGTGTCTGACCCCGTGTCTCACATGGTGTCTGGCCCCGTGTCTCACATGGTGTCTGGCCCCGTGTCTCACATGGTGTCTGGCCCCGTGTCTCACATGGTGTCTGGCCCCGTGTCTCACATGGTGTCTGGCCCCGTGTCTCACATGGTGTCTGACCCCGTGTCTCACCTGGTGTCTGACCCCGTGTCTCACATGGTGTCTGACCCCGTGTCTCACATGGTGTCTGACCCCGTGTCTCACCTGGTGTCTGACCCTGTGTCTCACCTGGTGTCTCCCCGATGTCTCACCTGGTGTCTGCTGCCGATCCCTGGTGTGTTCTGGATCTCCCACATTCCTTCGGTGAAGCCTTTGATCCTGACGCCGCTGCCGTATTTGGTTTTGTTGCCGACAAACGGGACGACGTTCTCTACCGGGACACTCCCCCTGCAGGCCAGACCAGGAACAACAGGAGAAAGACTAGTTTAGATTTAATTAATATGGTTTACTGTGAATGTTTTCTTATCTCGCCATCTTTTATGTGTGTGTATGTGTAGTGTGTGTGTGTGTATGCATAGATATGTGTAGTGTGTATGTGTCTATATGTGTATCTATATACTGTGTGTGTTTGTATCTATCGTATTCTATTGCATTGTTTGTGATAGCCTGGTGTTAGCCTGGTGTTAGCCTGGTGTTAGCCTGGTGTTAGCCTGGTGTTAGCCTGGTGTTAGCCTGGTGTTAGCCTGGTGTTAGCCTGGTGTTAGCCTGGTGTTAGCCTGGTGTTAGCCTGGATGGGTCTAAAAACAGCTCCGGGTCTGAGACTGATGACTGCACTTACACTTGGTGCGTCCCAAAGTAGTAAACCGGGACTCTCTTCCTGTAGCCGCACTCGGATTTACAAACCTGGAACAAGCAAGTACATTTTAGTTTAGTAATTTAAACACAGTACTTTAAACACAGTACTTTAAACGCAGTACTTTAAACGCAGTACTTTAAACGCAGTACTTTAAACGCAGTACTTTAAACACAGTACTTTAAACGCAGTACTTTAAACGCAGTACTTTAAACGCAGTACTTTAAACGCAGTACTTTAAACGCAGTACTTTAAACACAGTACTTTAAACACAGTACTTTAAACACAGTACTTTAAACGCAGTACTTTAAACGCAGTACTTTAAACGCAGTACTTTAAACGCAGTACTTTAAACGCAGTACTTTAAACACAGTACTTTAAACACAGTACTTTAAACACAGTACTTTAAACACAGTACTTTAAACACAGTACTTTAAACGTAGTACTTTAAACGCAGTACTTTGGCACGTACCCTCGCCGGCCAATGGGGGAAGCCCTTCATTTTGGCGAACACCAGATCCCCGACCTTGTAGACCTCTGCGCTGGATTTACTCATGTTGGATCCTCAGTCGGACGATCCCGGAACGATCCGAGTCTGGGACAAAAACACATTTATTCAACATCAAAGGAATTAAACTTTACTTTAGACACATCACTCAGCCACAACAATAAAAGTGTTTCAGTGATGATGATAATAATAGTAATAATAATATAATAATAATAATAATAATAAAATATACAGGCTTTCTGTGTGGAGTTGGCATGTTCTCCAGGTTTCCTCCAGGGGCTACGGTTTCCCTAACACTCAAAAAAAAGAAATACAATAGTCCCGAGTAACACCCTCGCTGAGCCCAGGGAGGGTGTTACAAAGGGGGCTGGAATCAAAATCTCAGTGGGACTGGGATTGTGTAAAAAAGTAAAACAAGAAAAGAAAGAGCTGATTGGCTGAGGGAGGTTGCTCCTGTTTTTGTCACTTTTCTGTTTGAATCTGATCTAACGGTGCAACAGACGCCTCCATGTGAGAACTAGTGATGGAAGAAACAGTTTTAGGACCAGGAAATAGTGTATTGTATTGTTGAAAATTAGGTCTCCCAGCTTTAACTGACCTCAGCCATAGCAAGATATTGTTTCTTGCACTAGAATATATACAGTAATACTTTCTTCGGTGTAGAGATATTGACATTTCACTGTGGGACCAATAAAAGATCTCTTTATCTCCATCTTGATTACAAAACTTTCAGGTCGTTAAACTTCTATAGGAGGATTTTCTACTTCCGGGTGGATCATCAATGCTATTGGTCCTCCCAATTGTCAATCCTTCTGGTGATACGAGCTCGTCAGAAAAGACCAGAGAGTTTAGTTTAAAAAGTGGAGACGGCGGTTCTTTCCTAAACCTGGGAAAGCCTTTAAATCAGCTTGTTCTTCCACAGACACAGGTGAAGCCATGTGCTACATTCACTCGTCACTTAAACGTCCCAGTTATTTATATGAATGCAGAAACAAAGTCTGATTTGATGGAAACGGTCTTTGTTTGTGGTCCGCGTGAGGCTCGTGCGCTCGGTCTCTGTTTACATCCAGCGCGACCGTAAGAACCGTGTGTCCGCCGGTTCCACACGCCGCTCCCGGGCCCTGTTCTCCCGCAGACGCACTGTCGGGCTTACCGGTAGCAGAGCGGAGGTCCTCGGGTGGAAGAGCGGGGGATTCTCGGTGTTTCGGAGGGTTTTCTGAGAGACTTTGTGGATCACGCGACAGACTGAGCTCCTAGGGCGCCATGTTGGGGAACGACGTCATCACAACGCGCCAGGACAGGACTGAACCAAAACAAAGGACAGCGAGGGAAGTGCGGACTGTACCATTTACGCTCCGTTTCCACCAGCCCGACTTGGCTCTACCCGACTCTCTACTCCACCCTTCTCTCTACCCTACCCTAATCTACTCTTTACTCTACTCTTTGCTCTACTCTTTACCATACTTTACTCTACTAATGTTCCAAGGTTTCAGCGCATCACATTTCTAGGGTTAGAAATGAAAAGTTGTGAAAGTTCAAACAGTGATTCTAGATAGAGGTTTATATTTGAGAGAGGAGGTGAGAGGAGAGAGAGGAAGAAAGGGGAAGGAGAGGAGAGAGGAAGAAAGGGGAAGGAGAGGAGAGAGAAGAGAAGCGGTGATAGAGGGAGAAGGTGAGAGGAGAGAGAGGAAGAAAGGGGAAGGTGAGAGGAAGAAAGGGGTTTTAGTATGAAAAAAATAAAAACCCCAATGTTTTGGACAAAAGACAAAATAATTGTGGTGAATTGAACTTAAAACAGGAAGTGTAAAGTCTGTTTTAAATCAGTCTTCTAGTCTGGTCAGCACTAGATCATACACGGAAGCAGAAGTAAATATAACAAAATACCTATTAATGCCTAAACTTAACCAGCCCTTCTCTTAAAATAACCCTAACCCACCCTTAACCCTAACCTTAACCATCTTACTCAGACCACCTTAACCCTAACCTTAACCATCTTACTCAGACCACCTTAACACTAACCTTAACCATCTTACTCAGACCACCTTAACCCTAACCTTAACCATCTTACTCAGACCACCTTAACCCTAACCTTAACCATCTTACTCAGACCCACCTTAACACTAACCTTAACCATCTTACTCAGACCACCTTAACCCTAACCTTAACCATCTTACTCAGACCACCTTAACCCTAACCTTAACCATCTTACTCAGACCACCTTAACCCTAACCTTAACCATCTTACTCAGACCACCTTAACCCTAACCTTAACCATCTTACTCAGACCACCTTAACCCTAACCTTAACCATCTTACTCAGACCACCTTAACCTTAACCTTAACCATCTTACTCAGACCACCTTAACCCTAACCTTAACCATCTTACTCAGACCACCTTAACCCTAACCTTAACCATCTTACTCAGACCACCTTAACCCTAACCTTAACCATCTTACTCAGACCACCTTAACCTTAACCTTAACCATCTTACTCAGACCACCTTAACCCTAACCTTAACCATCTTACTCAGACCACCTTAACCTTAACCATCTTACTCAGACCACCTTAACCCTAACCTTAACCATCTTACTCAGACCACCTTAACCCTAACCTTAACCATCTTACTCAGACCACCTTAACCCTAACCTTAACCATCTCACTCAGACCACCTTAACCCTAACCTTAACCATCTTACTCAGACCACCTTAACCATCTTACTCAGACCACCTTAACCATCTTACTCAGACCACCTTAACTCGAACCTTAACCATCTTACTCAGACCCACCTTAACCCTAACCTTAACCATCTTACTCAGACCACCTTAACCCTAACCTTAACCATCTTACTCAGACCACCTTAACCATCTTACTCAGACCACCTTAACCATCTTACTCAGACCACCTTAACCCTAACCTTAACCATCTTACTCAGACCCACCTTAACCCTAACCTTAACCGTCTTACTCAGACCCACCTTAACCCTAACCTTAACCATCTTACTCAGACCACCTTAACCCGAACCTTAACCATCTTACTCAGACCACCTTAACCTTAACCCTAACCTTAACCATCTTACTCAGACCCACCTTAACCCTAACCTTAACCATCTTACTCAGACCACCTTAACCCTAACCTTAACCATCTTACTCAGACCACCTTAACCCTAACCTTAACCATCTTACTCAGACCCACCTTAACCCTAACCTTAACCATCTTACTCAGACCACCTTAACCCGAACCTTAACCATCTTACTCAGACCACCTTAACCCTAACCTTAACCATCTTACTCAGACCACCTTAACCATCTTACTCAGACCCACCTTAACCATCTTACTCAGACCACCTTAACCCGAACCTTAACCATCTTACTCAGACCACCTTAACCCTAACCTTAACCATCTTACTCAGACCACCTTAACCATCTTACTCAGACCACCTTAACCATCTTACTCAGACCACCTTAACTCGAACCTTAACCATCTTACTCAGACCACCTTAACCCTAACCTTAACCATCTTACTCAGACCACCTTAACCCTAACCTTAACCATCTTACTCAGACCACCTTAACCCTAACCTTAACCATCTTACTCAGACCACCTTAACCATCTTACTCAGACCCACCTTAACCCTAACCTTAACCATCTTACTCAGACCACCTTAACTCTAACCTTAACCATCTTACTCAGACCACCTTAACCATCTTACTCAGACCACCTTAACTCGAACCTTAACCATCTTACTCAGACCACCTTAACCCTAACCTTAACCATCTTACTCAGACCACCTTAACCCTAACCTTAACCATCTTACTCAGACCACCTTAACCTTAACCTTAACCATCTTACTCAGACCACCTTAACCCTAACCTTAACCATCTTACTCAGACCACCTTAACCCTAACCTTAACCATCTTACTCAGACCACCTTAACCCTAACCTTAACCATCTTACTCAGACCACCTTAACCTTAACCTTAACCATCTTACTCAGACCACCTTAACCCTAACCTTAACCATCTTACTCAGACCACCTTAACCTTAACCATCTTACTCAGACCACCTTAACCCTAACCTTAACCATCTTACTCAGACCACCTTAACCCTAACCTTAACCATCTTACTCAGACCACCTTAACCCTAACCTTAACCATCTCACTCAGACCACCTTAACCCTAACCTTAACCATCTTACTCAGACCACCTTAACCATCTTACTCAGACCACCTTAACCATCTTACTCAGACCACCTTAACTCGAACCTTAACCATCTTACTCAGACCCACCTTAACCCTAACCTTAACCATCTTACTCAGACCACCTTAACCCTAACCTTAACCATCTTACTCAGACCACCTTAACCCTAACCTTAACCATCTTACTCAGACCACCTTAACCATCTTACTCAGACCACCTTAACCATCTTACTCAGACCACCTTAACTCGAACCTTAACCATCTTACTCAGACCACCTTAACCCTAACCTTAACCATCTTACTCAGACCACCTTAACCCTAACCTTAACCATCTTACTCAGACCACCTTAACCCTAACCTTAACCATCTTACTCAGACCACCTTAACCATCTTACTCAGACCCACCTTAACCATCTTACTCAGACCACCTTAACCCGAACCTTAACCATCTTACTCAGACCACCTTAACCCTAACCTTAACCATCTTACTCAGACCACCTTAACCATCTTACTCAGACCACCTTAACCATCTTACTCAGACCACCTTAACTCGAACCTTAACCATCTTACTCAGACCACCTTAACCCTAACCTTAACCATCTTACTCAGACCACCTTAACCCTAACCTTAACCATCTTACTCAGACCACCTTAACCCTAACCTTAACCATCTTACTCAGACCACCTTAACCATCTTACTCAGACCCACCTTAACCCTAACCTTAACCATCTTACTCAGACCACCTTAACTCTAACCTTAACCATCTTACTCAGACCACCTTAACCATCTTACTCAGACCACCT